AAAGATAGGCGGGCAGTGACAACCGCCGTTCACTCGGTCTAGAGTGGAAACCGGGGGGGCGCTGTCTCTGTTGTGCTGCAAGGGAGGGAAGCGGGTCAGGACTAACACTCAGTCCGGTCTCTGGAATGTGGAATAAGAGAGTAAGGCCTGCGGATGAAGCAGGTTCCAGGCTCAAAGAGTAGGGGTCATGAAGGGGTTTGGGGAAGAGGAGGGGGAGGGTAGGGCCGGTTAGGATGCGACAAGACAGGACTTTAAGGTGTTGTCGGGTGTGCTAAGGGCATGAAATGTCCCCGAACTGGGGACAGAACATGCACCAGAATGAGAGGACAGCGGGAGGGGAACGGGGGATGGGCCAGTCGAAGCGACATGGAAGGAAAGGAGCCAACCGACTTACGGGACAAGAGTGTGGGTGGTGGGTAGCAATGTAGGTAGGTGCACGGCGGCTGGCGTTCCTTTCGCTCTCAAATGGTAATGAGAACGCTTTGGCTCGGCTTGCGCCTGACGCTTGACGTTGCACAAGAGGTAAGAAACCGATGGTGACAGTGGTGGATAGAGCGAGGAACAAGAGAGCAAGCAGCTCTTTTTTCGCCTCTTGCCCGGTAGAGTAAGGCGGTGTGCTTTTTCTGTGTGGATGGTCTTGGTCCTGCTGCTGTACTATAGTTGGCGCTGATGCTATTTGTGACGAGCTAGAGAAAGGCGGGATAATCAACTGAGGTGAGGGTGGGCAATGACGGGCAAGAGGAGTAGGAGAAGGGAATACGTTTGGGGGCGATGAAGGTGACGGACCTGGTGGAGTGGTGGTTCGGACGGGTCGGGGAGTCGCAATTGTGTCTGCGCAGGTCGGCGCGGTGGCTGTCGGTCCTTGGGGCTTCGGTACCTCAACCTACTAGACTTGCCAGCTTCGAGGGATGTACTTGGGACTTTGGATGAGACGACGTAGCGTTGTGTGATGCGAGGACACCAAAACGGAACGTGCAACCAAGCCGAAGCTGACGGCTGTCTTTTACACCAGTCAGAGATTAGATCCGTCGCACAAGTGGCAGAGTCAAGGGAAAAGAATGGAAGGAAACCAATGTGAGAGGGAGCAGGGCCAGACCGCCATGTATAAAACCGGTGGCGGAAGAGGCGGTTGCTTGAGGCTGAGTCGCGGGAAGCAGGGAGAGAGGAAGAGAGGGATGGTGGGGCAGTAAGCGGTCCACTAACCTTAATGATAATGTGCCTCTGGATCGAAGAGTCCGGGGAGGTGCAGTGCAGCGGCCGTGTGGGCAGACACGACGGAAGAGCGGTTCGGCTGACGTGCAGTGGGTTTCTACGGTCGGGCGGGCGAGTTGGCTGTTGTTGGGGATTCTTTGAAGAAGCGTCTGAGATGAAATGACTCCTCCGCGGGGAACACAGACTGGCCGCGACTCTGGAGGGTTTGGAGAGAGAGAAAGAGAGAGACGAGACTGGGGATGGATGGGGCCAAGATCGGGGTCGGAAGTCGGCTCGGGGTTGCAAAGTGTGATGATCCCTGCCGATCGCCGGTTGTGCGTCTTTCCAAGGTTGTCGTTGAGATTGGTGTTTGAATGCGCCGGGGGAGGGGGGCCAGAGTGCGGGAAAGAAAAAAAAAAAAAAAAGCTCCAAGTTGAGTAAGCTGGAATGGGCAGGTAAAGACGAGATTGAAAAGGCAGACGTAAATATGATAGGTACCCTGGGTAATTACCTAGGAAGCAAAGGCCTTGCCGACGCGCGATAATCTATATGGTGAGGCAGGTATGTGGCAATCAGTAAGGTGGTGGGCCGTCTGTGTAAGTTGCGCTGTCAAGGTCCTACGTAGTAGCAGCTCGCGAGTCGAGCGAGGCTAGCGCCAAATTTGACTTTCGACCTGCCGAAGGCTGGAGCAGAATCCCCGGTGGTGCCCAAGTGGGCCAGTTGGCCAGCGAGTATGGAGATGTGTGAGGGGGTTTGCCTGTACTGAATCGCAAACGTCGATGTGATGCGACAAAAAGGCAGCGTTGAAAGGACAGCGTGTGGTGTTGGAGAGGTCGAAAAGACAGCTTTCAAGAAACAAATGGATGGATGCTGTTCGCTGTTCGATGTTTGATGCTGCAGCTGTAGTGCAGGGGCTTCGGAGCCTGCGGGCGCGAATCTTGGACAGCTTACGCAAGAGTGTCGGTAATCACCAGGTAGTGATCGAGCTCTGGACCGGGGTGTTCCGGCTTTCTCCCTGAAGATTCGGCCAAGTTTGTCCGGCCAAGAGTCTCTTCCCTTCTCTTCTGCTTGATCTCGCGATCCCGTTCCAGCGCCTGCGTTGATGTAGGCGATGTGGGTGCGCGCTTTCCTTCCGCGGTTGACTCTGTGGTCTGTGCGTCGACGAATCCAAGTACTTGTAAGTTGTAGTATCCGTAAGCCTCTGATGCATTGGATCAGGAAGTAGCCGTCCAGTTGGTGTTTCTGTCCTTCCATGTCAACAACTCTGTGCGTCCTTTTCCCTTTCCTCTTCTTCCTCTCCCGGATCCAGGAAGGGTCATCTTCACCTACCTCCTCTTGCTTGGCCTGTATGCCCCAAATCAGCGTGGATGCAGTCTGTCGTCTCGGGATTTGTTTTTGTCCTTTCTAGCTTCTCTTCTCTCTTCCCTTGCCTCCGTGGCAAAGGGAAACGCGCTAGCATTTATATCAGGGCAGCATCCTACTAATAGAAACACTATATCATCTGGTCGAGGCTTGTCACTTTCACCTGCGTCTCCTGACTCGTCTCATATTCTGGGGGGGTGGACACCCCCGGTTGCTCCTCGCCGGAGCGTTCTGGCAGCCTTTCCGACAAGGTCGGGACTTGGTGGAGGGCATCGGCCGGGCCCCGTGATGCCTCCAACCAGCTAACTAAGACACCAACCCACCTCTTGGACCCGCGCCGGCCACGACGACTCACCACCCTCATCGGGACCTGCTTAACGATCGGCCAGAGTAAGCTGGTCATGCACTTCCTAATGTCTGGCTCGCCCTCAAAAAAAGAACATCACGAACGGAATCGAACTGGGCTGTCCATGGCTCCAAAACAGGCCAGCCAGGAACCCGAAGACAGAAACGCCCCAGACTGCCCTTGGCTCGACACATGGGATTCTGTCTCATCCGCATCGCCTTGTTGGAAAAACCGGTTTTCCCTGCTGCAACAACACCTTACCCATGGCATGCGTGACGGGCTCAGCCGCTGGTTGGACGAGAGCCTGCGCGATTGCGGCCAGCACTTCCCATTCCTACCAGGGAAAGCGCTGTCGACACCCAAGCTGTCGGTTTGTTGGCATAACGTATCAAAGGGACAGCCTGTAAAACCGAAATCCTGAGTACTTTCAGCGTCGTCGTGGCAATCGGCCCGCTTCGCGTGTGGCGGCGTTAAAGTCTTGGGCGATTCTGATCAGACACGACATCCTTTACCGCCTGGATCTTGTTGCTCCTGGTCTCCTCCCTCTCCTGCGGTTCTCCAACAACAACAACAACAACAATGTGGTGCCTAACGGCTGTCTTGTTGCGGTTGTTGATGCTGCGGGCGTGCACGGGTTGGGGTGATGCACACCCACCCGCACAATCAAGTAAGCACATTAGACACTCAAGAGGCTGATATGATGCAAGGCATCCTACCATAACCCATACCGTGTGTGACCTTGTCTCCTCGGATGACATGAGGCGATTGGTGGTGTAGCTCTCTTGTTCTCCGCTCAGTCTTCTCACCCCGACACAGCACCCTTCGTGTCGGCTGTCTACGGGTAATCGCCCTCGGCGGGGACGTGATCATCGGCACATCAACTGAAATGCCGGAAGAGAATGCTACCCCGACTGGCCTCGCCTTCTCGATACGGCTTCGACTTCCCCCTTATGCACGGCTACCAGCAGCGAGTCTCAGAGCTGCAGCCGCACTGTATCAACTGAACAGCAGGCGTTAACCCCATTACAGCTAACATTCCCATCTACGATCTCCTGAAGGTTGCAAAGTGCCTCTGTGAGGAGGTCTGCTTGGGGGTGGGGAGACGAGATGCCTCCAATCGTGTCTCGCCGATTAGGTGATAAGAATGAACTGCAGACCCTGAGAGAGAAGTGGAACCAAGCCGCCATCAACTTTGGTTGGACGGCTGCCATAAGCGATACGGGCTGTGACTTGACACTACAATGAGCACGTACCCACCCACCCGGGGGAGGGAAGGCAGAGTTGATTGGCCAGGCCCAACCGCACCCGGTGCACCTGCGCAACTGCTCTGAGACATCCTCAAGCTTTACCCTGCCTTGCCTTGCCTAGCACATTCAACCTCCATTCAGTTCCATCAACTCCATCCTCCATCAGCCAGCCCTTTCGTCTTCGTGTTCAGCAACTGCCTTAGCGACCCTCCTTTCTCCTTCGGTTCGCAGTCTTGCGCCTCTGCCTTCGCCCTCGCCCCCGCCCTCTACCTCGACGACAGACTTACGTCGCAACTACGCGGTGCGGTACGCGCGGACACTAGGCTGTCACTACCAGAACGACCACCACCCTACGTCGTATCACAAACCGAACAGGTGGTCACCAAATAGTCCGCCCTCTTGGCACATTTCATTGTACGTGGTTTCCGAATACCCCCCCTCCCCTCCCTCCTCCCATAAAAATCATAGCCATGGATGATGGTTCTGTGTACCGACCGAGCTGACCGTTTTAGTTGTGGAGAAGAAGCTCGGCGCCCGTTTCCCTAACGCTCGTTTGCCGCGCTACTACACCTATCCTCCCTCCCCGTGCCCTTGCAATAACCAGCGACGGAGATCATACCGGCTTCGCCCTTGGCCCAATTACGTTGCCTCCGCAAGTCGACCGCGAGCGAGACCCCCTTTTCGACACAGTCGAAATCTGTCACTTGACTATAATATTGTCGACCCGAAGGAAACGATCCTGCGCTTGTTCCCACCTTTGCTATATTTTGGACTCCCCGAAAGCCCGAAGAGACAATAACTACGCACAACTACGTCATTGATATATCTCGCCACTTTCGGTCCCCATCGACGACATGGCGTCCACTTCCTTTAGAGATTCGATGAACTCCCTGGGTTGGTCACGGCGAGATCAAGATGTGCCAGTCAATACGGCGCAGCAGAGCGGCCTCATGTCGTCCATCAAGTCGCTCAATCCATTCCAGAACAACAGTTATATCCAGCTCCCGACTACTGAAGGCGCTGGTGCGCCTCTGCCTGCTGCCAACAGAAGGGAAGAGGAGGAGGGGTTCGCGACCCGTGAGTCATCCTGCTTTCGTTCATGTTCCAGCCTACCACTTCTAGAAGCTCCGTGAGCTCCAACCCAGCTCCAGACTTCTCAGGCCCCCTGCAGCTGGTACATTCTCTAGCTTCCTCGTCATGTCTCGGTTTGCCATGTGAGCAGCCGGACTTGTGAGGTGGTGGTGTAGTGTCCGCTGCCTCTACTCCGTAACAGCTGCGCTGACGTAGAATCTACCCATTTAGTCAGTCGGTGGGACCGTCTGCTCATCTTCGGTGCCTGCAACCTAGGCGCCCTTGCCTGCTTCGTCCTCTGCTTCGTCTTTCTCCCAGTGCTATCTGTGCGGCCGCGCAAGTTTGTCATTCTGTAAGTTCCCTCTTGTCTTTGGCTCTGCCCCCATGGCCTGGAGTTTCCGCTCTCTCTCCCTCTTTCCCCCTTCCAAAACGGGTGCTTCCGGGCCTGGCTAGTTGCCGGCACGGCAGATCGACGAGAACAAAGCTGGATCGGGCAACGAGGCGACATACCGCAGAGCTCCGCCCCTGTACACCTCTATGCCAGATGATCTCGCATGGTCCATTAGCCATAAACACCTCATCCGGTGACAGACCGGCGTGATTAGTCCCTACGGCCAGCACGAATCAAATTTCGTTCCGACGATCGTTTTTGAGACACCCATTAGCTGCTAACGTTATTGCTCTTTCCCCCTTCAGCTGGACACTCGGCTCCCTCCTGTTCCTGGCGTCCTTCGCGGCCGTAATGGGCCCGATGGCTTACGCGAGACATCTTACGTCTGGCACACGTCTGCCATTCACTGCGGCCTACTTTGGATCGCTCGCGCTGTCCATGTACTTTTCGCTCGGTGTAAGTTCGACTATGACTGGACTCAAGCTGGCGGGATTTCTGACACTTCACGCCACAGCTCCACAGCACCATTCTCACCTTGATTTCGGCTGTCATCCAGCTCGCCTGTCTGGTGTGGTACCTCGTCAGCTACTTCCCCATGGGCTCGAGTGGCTTGCGGTTGGCCACCACCTTCGGAGCCAGAAGAGCGGCTGCCTGGATGACTGGGTAAGGTTATGAAGTTAGCTGTACAGTGCATGTATCACCAGGAAAAGAGTATAGCAGCTGTTATGACAATCGACTCAGGGTAAAATAAATTAAAAGGCTGGATTGAGTCATGTAACAAAACCCGAGAGGAAGGTTCTTTCTTGCGGTTGTACAGAATACCGGGTGGGGAGGGAGGCTCGGGGAAGAGTTGCGAAAACAGACAAATCCGGCGTATGTTATCATTGCTGTCGTTGATGTTTTACCGTGCCGTATCTTTTGTTACAGGCGCGTCCTGCCAGCCAAAGAGGTGTCACGAATGAATCCAACCATGGTTTCTTGGTCAGCAATACTGCGTTTCTGAATGGATGAACGAAACTACCTGGGTCAAATATGGCGCTTTGAAGAGGCAACCCGTCTTCAGCGAATTGTGGATTTTTGGTTCTCTATCGCGTGCGATCTTGCTTTTCACACTTCAGCATCAAGGGGCGCTACCAGAGAGAAGATGAACGGAAGTTGTACAGCTAGTCAAGAGGGCGTGGACGGTAGATCAGGGTCTTCCTGTCCGTTTCCCATTTCCGTACTCTTCTTCACGTGGCCTTCAGAATCAGACACGAGGCGGACTAGTCTCGTGATGCGGCTTACTCTTTGGAGCATATAGCCTTCTGGTCGTCCCAGATAACATAACAAGGTATCCGCTTGATGGATACAAAGAAGCACGCCCACCAAGTCAAACAGGAACATAACTGATAGTCGAGCCGTGGCGATAGTGTGGCATAGGGAGGCCATAGCCGCTGAACGCTATGGAAGTCTCCTTCAAAGAGCGAATCCTAGCTGAGAAGGACTGTGCCCACGCCTGCTTTCTGCATCGAAATGGAATCGATGCCAGCGGAGCGGAGCACATACGTTGCCGAGAACGGCGACAGGAGAAATGCCGATGCGGCGTTCTCTCTCTTTCTCACCCGCATGCGCTGTCTAAACCTTTCTTTTTCCATAAGCCTCTCACCGAGTCAGGCTCTATTTGGACATGTCCCCACAATGATCGACAGGCAATTGCCGCACGTACGTGCAGGCTGAGAAGAAGAAGAAATTATAAATATACCTACCGTATCCGTAGACTCTTGTTGAATCGAATAACCGCTAGAGAGCAACCTAGCCGATATCAGCTAGCGGATATCTACTACGCTAAGCCTAAGGTGGAAGGCGGTCACTGTACTAACTGCCAATCATAAGTCAATTTGCTGACCCTTGCCACCTAACTTGCTGCTGACGTAAATGATTAACCCCTGCTTCTGCCATCACACTATGTCTATCACAGCGGCCGCGATACCCCTTGCCGTTAGCTTGCTCACTAGCAGTTATTCGATTTAACGAGAGTTTACGGTATTGTCTTGGAGACACCTGACGCCCTCTTCTCCCCATCTCAGTGAACCTACAGTTTGCGGCAATCTTCAGTGCCGCACTCGCAGATGGAGACCACAGAAGGACCCAGGGGGACGGAAGTAGGGCTCTGTCCCACAAAGCGGACGGTCGAGTCTGGCACAGCCAAGAAACGAGTCAGTCCACTGTGCCCCAAATAGGAAGGGGAAAAAACGGCAGAGAAAAAAAGTAAAGTAGATGAATCCCAGGGCTCTCTGGTGGAGAATTAATGGTTGTGATCAAAGATCCTAGGAGCGCAACCAAAGGGGGGGTTTGAAGAAACGGTGCCGTTCGATACCATTTTCCCTGGCCCTGCGGCTTGCCTAAGCTACCAATGCTTTTCTTCAGGTTATCTAGTCATGGATCCAAGTGGTTTGTTCCAGCGCGTTGCTTCATTGTTACAAGTGCAGGCTTCTGGGCGTTTAGCGATGCATGGTGGAGAGCCATCAGGCTTTCCGCAACAACCCGCCATGCAGCCAATCAGGTCGCCCTTCCTTGCGTGGCTTGGGAAGGATAGAGGGAGAGAGGCCGCGTGGCGGATTCTCGTCTTTTTGTTACTCCATTTCCTCCCCTTCCTTTTGCTTCCTGCCCTCGACTTTTATATATATTTTGAATTCTTTTACTACATATTAATCTCATATGATGTGGCATGTCGGCGCAAGCTTGCAGGCCTTGCCCGCTTCGTGTTGGTCAGCAATCTATTGCAGGCAAAGCTGTGCTGATCATATTCTTAGAAAACGTTATATCCAGGTCTATTTATCTGTATACATATCTGTCTACAGAAAACAAAAAGAACAAAAAAGTGGTCGGCCGGGTTGTTGTCAGTACTCCGTCCTGCGGCAGGTGGGCGTATCGGACGACAGAGCCAGCCCGGCATCGGGGATTGCCCCACTACGCATGTCAGGCATGGAAAATCGTTCTACACTATCGGTACATGCCTAGACAGGAAAGGCCCCATGTCTCCGTCGGTATATGTGATGACTAAGACGGCGTTCCGAGGCGGACTTGGCCGCGCTTTCCTTGTTTACAAATTAGATAGGGACAATACCGAGTCTATGCATGAAGCTGTCGGAAGGGCGATCCTCAAACGCGGAGAGGGAAAGCCCGTGGCGGTGTGCTTGTAGTTTACGTGTGTTTGTGTGTTTGTGTGTGTGTGTGTGTGTGTGTGTGTGGCACTGAATGAAGTGAAAGCACAATCAATACTCGCACAGCGTCGCCGTCATGACGGGTACTTTCCAAATGTGGCCTGGTGACAATTCCCTCTGGTGACCTGGATACCTGGATAGGCATTCTCCATCCTTTTGAGTCACGCAATGAGGGCAGTATCAAGCAGTATCGTCAAGGAGGATCGGTCTTGATCGTTGGGTAGCCGCGGTTATCCTCGCCGCAAGCCAAATTGGCGTCAACCAAGCAGGTATGGGCAAGGTTAGGTTATTGACCCCCCTCTGAAGGCCAAAGGTGCAGAGCTGCGGCGTTTCGGAGGATGGCTGCAATGCGGGCTGCAAAGGTAGGATCCAGCCCTCAAGCCCTCAGCCCTCAGCCCTCAGCCCTCAGCCCTCAGCCCTGCTATTACAAACAAACAGGAAAGGAATTGTGCGTGTGTGATTCATATCTGCAGGTGTATGTAGGGAGGTTGTGCAGTCCGTACTGCGCTCTGTACGCTCTGTACGCTTTGTACGTTTTATACCTATATAGGTAGGTCTGGACTACGACGGTATCCCGTAGGCAGCCATGGTCTCGGACAGAAAACCAGCGAGCGAGCTTTGGGTTGGATTGTGCATCCTGTCCTTGGTAGGTACGTACCAAGGGGCAGCACCGCCGCCCGTAATCCGTAAGGTTTGGTGAGCAAACGGACCTTTTTGTCCAACAATATTAGACGAGACGGGACTTCCTAGAAGGAGACGTGTTGCCAATGGTTTCCTTTTCCGACGAGGCAAGGACTTGAGGCAGGCAGAAGGAAGGGAACGTGGCGCGATTAGTTGCGTACAGATTGGAAGGAAGGGACGAAGGAGGGAGGCCCGGGGCACAAGGTCCGTTTGATCGAAAACCGTCCATCTACCGTACCCGCTCGAGGGGTTAGGAAAGCGTGGCATTGCATTGCGCTGCGCTGCGTTGAGTTATAGTGCGATACGTCTGTAAGTCGGCAACACTCTCATCACATCGCAAATTCCATGACAGACGACGCGAGCGAACAAGACCCAGACAGAAACCATCGCCCACAAACAAGAGCACATGAAATGAGTACAAAAATTGCCTTGGCCTATCTAGTAATTAACCGGCTTATATTCGCGCAACTCCACCAAAGCCGGCGAGCAGACCTGTACCAATGCATATGTAATGCGGAAGGTTGCAGCGGCTTAGGTATGTCAGTCAAGGGCAAGAGGAACGGCAGCCGCAAGGAGCCAGAAAACCTTGCAGGGCCGGTCCGACACCTCAGGATAGGACTGGTGCACAGCGAGGGTGGTGAGCGTGTGAAAACGGTACCTATCGTAGTGGAGGCAATTAAGCACTTTATCCATAGAGGGGAACGAGAGGAGGGGTAATACCTAAGTGGTTTCCCCCTCCCTATTTGGGTTTTATCTTTCTTCTTGGGGCTTCTTTCTTTGCTTCAAGATTTTTACGGGCCTCCAGGTTCCACGTAATTCGAGACCCAAGATTGATGACTACATATTGTGCTAATGGCATTGAACCGTCTGCTGCTTTGCCGCCCGTGGTTCCGCTCAGTCCCCAGCCCTGAGCAGCTTGTCGAAATGCCAGTGCTGGTGATGGTGCTTTTGATTCTGCCGTTGCGTGTTTTGCTGGTGCCCTGCCGGAGAGATGGACGATTTCTGCCGTTACTACAGTACAAATGCCTCTCGGGTAGCCGCCTTACTTGCCCGAGGCCATCAGTATCCACGTTTCCTGACTGGCCAAGGCACTTGGTCGACCCTGCCTCATGGCCTCAGGTAGGAAATAAGTCAGTCACCGCCCGGCGTCCGCCCACTACCCCCAACGGGACGGACGGATGGGATGGGGACACTGAATTCCCCTCCCACAGGGCAGGGCTACTCATTTTCTCTCACCCCTCCATCCAATGCCCAATACCTACCCGGCATGGCGTGCCCCAAGACACCTGCGTGAACGCACTTGCTTTCCGTTAATTGCCTTCCGTTAGTTACCTACCCCCTATAAGGTTCCTGCGTCTTCGCTAACCACGTATTCGCACTTTTTTGTACCATCACTGTAAGCATTCCAATGCATCTCGTTTCAGGCGCATGCTTCACCGTAATCCTCCTGCCTAATGCTGAGCGATGTGCCCTGGAATTGATTTACCAAATGTGACGAATGAAGCACTTTTCCCACCTACATGTACTAGACCTTTGTCCCTTCCTCAACCTGCCTGGCTGCCTGCCCGCCTCAAACATCGCAGTTACCCAGTCCACCTCTACCCTCCCCTCCCCGCTAAAAAAAAGTCAGGTCGACGCCTCCACCTTTACCTCAAGTACCAACCTGGTAGTAGCGGCTTTCCGAGAGGGAAAAAAAATTCATTCACAAAAAAAAAAAAAAAACCTCGGGCCTCAGATTTTATTCCTGCAACATTTCTCTCCTCCTCTCCCACAACCGCACAATCTCCTCTCTCTCCCTCCCCTCCGCAGACCTACCTTTACCCGGCATATTTGTGGTCATTCTTCAGTTCTTTCGTCTTGCTCCGGCCGAATTCCCTTTCGCCATATACACAGCGGGCATTTCGTACACGAAGACCCCTCAAGCCCAACAATAAAGTCGTCCAATCGAAACTTTGCGTTTACCGTCGTTCACATTTTCCTTAGATCGCCGCAACCCGAGCATCTCCGGAACGCCACGCTTCTCAAACCAACCCTTCTTCTTGACTTGCCCTCCACCCAACTCTGCTACATCGTTACGAGGAACACAGCTTCCACAACCCCTCGGAATCCCTCGTCGTGCTCGCCCTTGCTGAATTCCAGTAATTGCGTGCCTCCGTCGGATTTCTCGTCCCCGCATTTCGCCCAACAGAAGCCTCCACGTCAGCTTCACTGGACCAGCATCTCCCGCTCGTCCTGTCTGTCACCTTTGGGCCTCCCAAATCAATTCGCGACTTCTGACGACGTCAATCCACACCTTGATCCTCTTGACGGCCCCCAAAGCCGCCCGACCGAATTCGTTCTCACACTCCACGGAGAGGTTAGTTCGCTCTCTCCGGTCTGTCTCCGCTCGGGGAGTTGCTGGTAGACCTCGGTTTACCCTCTAGCAGGATCCAACACAGCCCGTTCGTGGCTATCTACTTCGGGGCCTGGCTGGATTGGATCCGTACATCGTCTTTCCTGGTCCAATATACCCCCGATAGTCTTTCGACGCATGCATATTTTTGCATCAGACATAGCATCAGACACGATGGCTACTGCATTCTCCTACGCTCAAGCCGCCAAGGGCCAGGCGGCCACCACATCGGCAACCCAGCCCACTGAGAACGGCAAGGATGCCACCAACTCAGTAAACGGTGAACAAAACACTGTCGAGACCAGCGCCGTCAAGAGCGGCGACCCCGTCGACGACGAGACTTCGAGAAATACCCCTCTCAAGGCCCAAATCGCCTCCACACAGGACGCTCCTTCTGTCCCCGCTGAGGCCAACACCAACAACACATCCGCTGCCGCCTCCGTCACCGACTCTCGACGCGATGACGAGGACGCGGTCATCGAGGGCTCCGCTCGACGAAGTGAGAAGAGCGTAAGGTCAGCAAGTGCGTCCACGCGCGTGACCGACGATGCTGAGCCGAAGAAGGGCTCTAGGAAGCCAAGAAAGGGCAAGGCGGGAAAAGAGTCGGGCGAGGATGCCAAGAAGGATAAGCAGGCAGAGCAGGAGAAGGAACAACCCAAGATCGAGCTGGTCGAGGCACCGCTCCCCTCGGTCAACATCTGGACCCAACGGAAGGAGACACAGGCTGCAAAGACATCCGTCACCCTGCCCGTCAACGGCGTTTCCGGCGCATCCAGCTCCGCTGACGCCTGGCCCAATAGCCAGGAGTCCAAAAAGAAGGGCAAGGCCGCCGACGCCACTGAAGCGGCGAACGGTGTTGCCGCCTCCAGCAAGTCTCAGCGCAAGGCTGGCGATGGCGAAGTGGCCGTCCGTAGGAACGGTGCTCGCGGTTCTAGGGTGATCGACAGAGACAGCCGACCTACTGAGGTGCCTCCTCCCGTCGGTGATGTCCAGTCATGGCCTACGCCCGAGACGGCGGTCAAGGAGACCGTCAAGGAGGACAAGCGCAAGCCCTCCGACAAGACTGAGCGGCCAGACGCTGACGTCCAGGATGACGCTGCCTCAAAAGGACGTTCCAAGGAGAAGTGGGAGCGCATGGACTTCGTACCCACTGTTCAGTTCTCCACCCCTATTCCCTCAGTGAGAGGATCTCGAGGAGGACGCGGTGGCGCTCGTGGTGGACGCGACGTCGCCTCTCGCGGTGGGCACGGTGCATCGGCCGCCGCCGCTGCTGCCGACAAGCCTGCCGCTGCTGCTGTCCCTTCTAGCAAGTCAGGAAGCGAGGCTCGTGAGCGTGCCCGAGATGGCAACGCACCGATCAGGACCAACTCTCAGCCCCCTGCTGCAAACAACAAGCGCGCTTCCATGGAGGCGTCCAGCAAGGAGCAGCGCAAGCCGTCTGCACCCAGCTCGAGCGAACGTAATAAGGAGCCGCAGTCCAATGCTACCAACGTAAGTTGCCTTGTGCTGCTCTTGTCGCGTGATTCCAACCAACGATGGCACTAACCACAAAGCAGGAACAGGCCGGACCTGTGAGGGAGAGGGGCGAGGGTCGCGGTGATAGGGGTCGTGGCGGATACCGGGGCCGCGGAGGCCACCCTGGAAACGTGCCCATGCACTCTCAGCAATCTTCCTACATGGGCAACGGCAACACCTTCGGCTCCCAAGGCCCGCGCCAGTTTACTAGCCCCCCTCTGCACCAGAACGGTAGCTTTGCTTCATCATACGGCGGTTCCCAGTCTCGTGGCGGTCGTGGTGGCCGTGGCCAGTCCAACGGTTCCGGTGCTTTCCGTGGAGCCGGTGGCCCTTCGAACTCTGGTCGCATGCGTCAGGTTCAGACAAACATGAGCCAGGTTTCCTGGGACTACGGCATGCCCATGACCCCTGGCTCCTACCCTGCTTTTTACGAGCAGACCAGACACCTCATGATTCCTCAGTTTGAGTACTACTTCTCTGTCGAAAATCTCTTGAAGGACGAGTTCTTGCGTAAGCACATGGACAGCCAGGGTTTCGTGCCCTTGGAGCTCGTACTTGGTTTTTCCAGGGTCCGTACCGTCGCCGACCCTCAAACTCTGCGCGCAATCTGTGCCGAGTGCCCCCAATTGGACTATGTTATTGGAGATGATGGTATCGAGAGACTGCGCTCTCGCACGCATTGGCAGAAATTCGTCTACTCCAAGATGGAGCTCCGCTTCGAGTCCGCGCGCAACGCTGGGCCTCAGTACTTTTACCCGCGCTCGCTTCACGCCATGGCCCCATACGACCATGGCATGCTGGGCGACTACCCTGTTGTTTCGCCGTCCGCATACCCCAACGGCACTGAGAATGGCTACGTTACCTACCCTACCGAGTTGCCTGCGGGGCAGATCAACGGTCTGTTGAACGGTGCCGGACCCGAGACACAGCTTTCAGCTCAGGTTCCCGAATTCCAGCCGGGAACGTCTGAGCAGGCTGGTGCCCACTCGGAGTCCGGGTCCAAGATTGAACCACTCGTCAATGGCTCTGCCGAGTCTCACGCGGAGAGCGCGCCCTTGATCAATGGCAATCACGCCCAGTCCGCCGAGGTCCTCCAGTCCTAGTTGGATGAAGGCATTGTGGCCTGTGGCGATGAGACAGCGTCTGGTGGCTACGGCGGCGGCGGCGGCAGCAGCAGCAGCAGCAGCAGCGACATGTCGAGTCCGTCCCAACGCGCACATCTAGTGATGCGTGTCCGAGGCGAGAACTCGGCTACAGAGTCTCGCATTGACAACATTCCATATCCTGAATTTCGTACACGTGCGCTCTCCAAACGGCTGAACGCTTTGGCTGGGGAGATCCCTGGCGACATGATATCCCTTTATCGGTTCTGGTCTCATTTCTTGGCCCGGCATTTTGATTTGGAGATGTTTGAGGAGTTTCGGGCATGTGCAGTGGCGGATGCCACGGGGGCGACGGCCAACATAACTGGCCTCGAGAACTTGATTGCATACTACGAAGCAGTCAGCCAAGACGATGGGGAAATACATCTGGACAACATTGAGTTCCTTTACAAAGAAGCGAAAGAGCTGGCCACGAAGGCCCAAATATCCTGAGGGCAGAGCGCGACAAGACAAGAATGTTTTTACGAATTACGCAGCTCGTATGGGATTTTTTTTTTTCGACAGCTGCCAGGCTTTGAAGGTTGCGGCATGGCCGCGAGCTGATCTTGGGCAATCTTCCACTCTTATTGCCGTCGAGTTGAGAACGTTTCTTGGGATCAGGCGAAATGGGCCCGCTAGTACTGTCGTCATTGGATGATTGTAAACGTTCCTTGCTTCTCGTCAAGGAAGGGACATGGCAAAGAGATGCTGCCAGGTGGCCGGCGATATACGTCTATGGGCGGGAGTCGGATCGGAAATAATCGAGAGAGCGCGGATTAATCAGAGACGAACACGATGGGGTAAGAAGGTTGGGTCTCGGATTGAAGTGAAAGCAAGTTGCTCTTCCTCAGGAAGAGGCTCCGGGCATGGGTTGATGAAAGTCTCTTCTCCGGCGTAATCGGCATAGGACCGATATGACAATCATCGGCCTACTTTTTTCTTTGGCGGGGTTATTTTATTTCATCGATGGATTCATCTTCTTCCTCTCGCCTCTTGCTGCTAGGCGAAGAAAAAAGTTCTCTTCACTTGTTTCCTTTTCGGTTTTCTTTTTGCACATAGTTTCTGCATGCTCTTTTTCCGGGGGATTAAGGGGGAGGGGGTGGACATAAAATGCATTCGAGCGGTTACAAAGAGGAAATTTTGGGGGCTGTGGCTCAGGGTCCTGCTAGACTTATCTATTTTTCTCTTCTTCTGGCTCATAGGTACAAAAACGCACGAGAAAAGGATGAAAACAGAGTATCACCACGTTGGATGAGTTATGCTGGTGTTGGATTTTGCACGAGTAGTATCTCACGCAACCATAACAACAATAACAAAAAAAAAGAGGAACAAACGCTGAGTGATTGGTGTTCACATTTGGTAACCATTGTGCTTTGTGCTCTCGTGCATTGGTGATAGGCCTCCATAATGGTCCGACTTGATCATTTGGTTCCCGGCCCGTCGGGTTTAGACCCATCATGAGTTTTTGTATCGCCCTCTGCAAGTATTAATCAGAGCAGAATATCGACTCTGGACGGAGCCTGGTTCATGGAAGGAACATATGTGCTCCCCGTCCGGCCATGGACCTCTCCCCCCCCCCCCCCCCTTTTTTTTTCTTCTTCTTTTTCTTTTCTGGTTTTTTTGAGATGCCGACTGCGCCCCTCCTTCGACAAAGTCCGGTCCGTTGCCAGACTCGTTCCTAAACCTGGGACAAGACGCGCAAAGCCTCTTGCTGTTATAGGCTGCCTCTCATCCTCGCCTCTCTCTCCCCGCATCATTATGTCTGCATAGAGCTGCGCTCTCTGGTGCTTAGTTGGTTCCTGGATAGAATTATGCCTCCCCTGGCGCGGATATGTGGCGGAGAAATAGGCCCGATGTTACGAGGCTCGCTGTGCCAGCCAGCGATGGCGAACCTCGCCTCGGTTCACGAGCCGGGGATGGAAAGTTTGGTCTCCGAGTTAGGCTCCCGAGATGGAGGTAGAGCAGCTCGATGCCGCACTGCTCACCTGTGAAGTCAATGATGCTAGAATAAGTTTGCCCATATCGTATTGGAACAGGAGCGTGCGTCTTTTATCCGGAGATGTAGTTGCCTCACATTATTAATCATTATTACATTGTTATCTATGGCAAGCGGTCGCTTCGTCACTGCCATAATAGGGCCCTTGTACACTGATTGAAGGGCGGGTGTCAATCCAAGCAATCATTATCTACAAGAAGCATGCCAGTTCCTCCTTATTCCAAACTTTGGCGCTGGGTAGGGAGTACCACCCCTGCTAATCATGAAGTCCCTTAGAGGGCCATGACAAAACCGATAATGGCGGCAAAACCGGCGAAGGCGTTGACCATGACAGTCGGCGCAGCGTTGGGGGCATCAGTGGAGGCGGGGGCGGTGCCGGAGGCGTCAGTTCCAGTAGGCTCAGGAGACTCAGTCGCGGAAGCGGTGCCGGTCGCGGTCTCTGTCTCGGTGGCAGCAGTTTCGGTGACAGTCGCGGTACTACCGAGAAGAGTGTCAGTGGTACGACGGCCGAGATGAAAGATCAGGTAGAGAAAAGAGGGCGCCGAGAAGCAACTTACGCGGTGGTGTCACCATCATTGCTGGTGTTCAGGACAGTCGAGGTGAAGGCACTGCCGGCGGAGTCGGTGCCGGTAATAACACTGGGGGAAAGCGTGGGCACCAGGTCAGTGGTGATGGTGGTCGGGACGGGCGTGATGGTAGCAGAGAGGCTGGTGGTGATGGTGTTGCCCTCGCTGTCGGTGGTGGTGACGGCGATGACGGTGGGTACGGGAGTAGCAGCGGCGGCAGTAGGGCGGAGGCTCTCAATGGCAGACTCCAACGCGGCGTACTGGCTGACGTAGGCAGTGGGGATGGCGGCGAGGAACCAGTCCGGGGTGCTGGTGGCCTTGAGGACAGAGAAGACGTAGGACTTAACGTCCCCAGTGACGCCGGCTGCGCTGGCGGCGGAACCGAAGGCCGAGGTCAAGGAGCTCCACTGGCCCTCCGGGATGTAGGCCGAGATGAGGGCGTCGGCGGCCTGGGTGAAGGCAGGTGCGTCCGGGCTTAGTCTTGTGTCAGTTTATGGTCCAGTGGCATTGAGGCTCTCGCCTCTTGAGCTCGAGTCACTTACGCTTGACGGGCCTCGATGGGGTTTGCAGCGGCGAGCTTGGTGGCGAGAGCCAGGGAGAATATGGCAGACTTCATGTTGACTACGGGCTGGTCTTTGGAGGAATATCCGAGACCGAAGGTTGGGTATCACAGGTATTTCAGGATGAGGACGGCAGGAGTTCCCTTGGGGATATCGCTGACTGGCTGAAGCAAACAAGGCGGATGGAGAGGGGAGAGGGAGAGCAGTGTGAGAGTAAAAGACCACTGGGAGAAGTATCAACCGGTTGCTTGTTGATTTATATAATAAGCAAAGCTCGGCGATGCGGTCAAGAAGCAGATGACGCCGTATGCAGTCGAACAGGCCGGGTGCGACCAGGCCAGCACAAATTGGGAAGCATGGCGAAAGTGGTGGTGGAAGCGAGAGCTGGGAATTGCGCGTCGCTGCGTTTGCGGGGGACGGCACAGGAGGAAAGTGGGCAGAAATCTTGGTGTTGACCCCAGCCTGTAATCCTGGAAAAGCGGAGGTTGGGTAGAGATGCTCAATACGGATACAGAGAGTACAGATACCTAGGTCCATGATCCATCGGTTGCCCTTGCAGCCGCAGAGCCAGCAGAAAGAGGGCGACAGCTGCAGGTCGCAGACGAGGCAAGGAAAAGTGACATTTGAAAAAAGCAGGGCAGGGCAACAACAGCTGAGGCCGGGCTGGGCTCTCTGGCGTGACGTTGGCGGTTGGCCTGTTTTCTTGAGCGTGCCACACAGGCCATCAAATGAGACGCAAAGGTTTTGATGACCTACCTCGTACAGAATGTATGAAGGCATCAAACGGATGCACGGGTGATGGCATCGTGGTGTTGGCTCATTCGAGCGGGCAAGGAATCTGATTGGCGCGGGGTTGCGTGTTTGCCGGCCACGATCGTGAAATGGGGTTGACGGGAGGTTGGGGGGGACACAACGACAAGGATCAGAATGCAAGGCCGCCGAAGAAACAATTTACGTCAGCCTTTTACTTGTGCCTCTCTTGGCTGTCCTACACCAATTCTCGACCGGACCACTGCTCAAGAGCACAAGATACAGAGACTGCTCTCGCGACACGTGACTCGAAATAGAGAGAGATAGCTTGTAGCAAGGGCGGACGGCCTTGTGGTGCTAGGTGATGGATGGGGTTGTTATTCGTGAGAATGTGGGAATACTCTACGATTACAACAGGGAACACTGTAGTAAGATACGTACCAAGTGGAGGGATGTGGTTGGCGGATAGGCCCAATGCGTCGGTTACGGTTACGGTTTGCTGCCAGGGGGGCCGTTGAACGAATGACACAATAGAATTGTTTACTGTACGGATAGAGCGAGGGACAAGGAAGCCCCCACCATCGGCCGTGTTCCGTTTCGCCGTTTGCTGGCAACGGTGAGCCAGCAAGCTTTCATTCTTTCCTGAACTGTCCTACAACTCCGACCAAGCACGTGACCCGTACCCGAGCGGCGGACCTCGCGCAGCCACAATAGAAGTACACCCATCCATAGAGGAGGCACAGTTCATACGTACGCTACGTCACCGGCTCTCAAGTTGTGCAGGCTTCCCCTCTTCGAATCCCTTCGCCGCGGGGCATTTCACTTCCACTTCAACTCGTCACCATGACACTATTCCCCACACCCACCTGGGTTTTCTGTCTGCCACTGTCAGCCGTTTATCCCTCTACCTTGTCCGGGCAGGCGTGCAATCTACCTGATGAATGTGCATGGTGAAATACTTTTGTTTCCAATGCCACAAGGGTGTTGAAGCCATGCCGCAATCATAGTGATCACAAAACCGAATACTCGCCCGATTTATTTTCGGCCGCTGGAATACAACCCACTTGCCTACAGTGTAGTGTAATAAGGTTCCAGCAGACGACCTGTCAAGTGGAAACTGTCCCTCTCCGGGAAAACATGTAGGAACCCAAAGAATCTAATTTACAGCATCAGTGCCGGTCAGACATGGTGCGTTCAGAGAGTGTAACGGGAACTCTCGCGGACTCGCCGAGCACCTTGCAGCAGAGCCCCTCTCACCAGCACAACAAGTGCCACCTCTTGAGGACCCTCTGTCGGCGCTCGGCCACAGGGCAAGGCTTAGCCCAACTTCCATATTCCATTGGTTGACATGCCTGCCCTTATGAGGTCATTTCCACGGCTGCCTCGTCCCCCCCTCCTTTTTGCACAGGTCACAGGTCACAAGGCATGCCACATGCACTGCTGCCAGTGCTGCATGCTGCGTACATGCTTATCCCCATTCAATACAGTCTGGCTCTCAACTCGACCCGGAGGGGTTTCAAAGAATGCAGCTCTTGGTCCCGAGAGCTGGCAGCGGCCACGAATTCCCACCGCCTAACGCAAGACGTTACTTCAGTCACCCTCAATGTAGCTCTGGTGTGGCATCGGGCTGTCGCAGGGAACACCCATCCTCGAAGGCCACTTGTAAGCACACCAGCACAGTATTCGGGGCGCACGCACCGGAAGCCTGACCACCGTCTTTTGTGTCTTTTGGGGCCCAGCCAATCAATATGGCAAGGACCAAATGGAAATTTGGACGACCAGAAAACAAGGGTATATGCACATTATTTTCGGCCTGAGGGAGGGAGCCTGGGGACTAACGGTATGTTTAAGTGACCTGTTCTTATTTTCATTTTCATTCTGAGCAATCTTGTCTTGTATCAATAACCATCTTTCAGGTTAAATCTAGCCCTGGTTCACAAGTCTCCGTCGCCGAAAATACGGGCATCAGATACATTTGTTGGCTGGGTAGGCTGAGCATGCCTAGCGCAAAGACCCCCGCCTCTCTTCCTGCAGCCGCACCTCTGGAAGCAATGCTGAGTCGTCAAGATGCTACATCCATGTCTTTGGCCACCCAACCCTGTCATGTCCTGCCCTGCCCAGTTGTTCCAGTTTAGGTCTGGAGGGGGGGGGGGGGGGGGGGGGGGGGCCCGTCTGTCTAGCTGGCTGCTCTGCCTGAACTGTCCACCTCATGCCCGACACCCACACTGATTTGCCTTTCCCTCCCGTCTCCGTGTTGTTGGACCCTGGCCTCCCCACCCACCACTTCCAGCCCTGGGCACCCCCGGTCATCATTTCTTCCCCCTCCTCCCTCTCTTCTGGGACTGACTGTTCTTCATTCTTCTACCCTTTGAACAGCTCACAGACATAACGACGTTTCTAGTTATAGACGTCTCATCACACAACCACCACAACTTCGTAGCCTTCACCAGACGTTTCTGTGCCTGGTGCTGCATACCATATCGACGACACTCTATCGCCTCACTCGGAGACTTACAACACCCCGCTTCCCACAACATAACCCCCAAGCCATTTCACCGGCTCTTGCGCATACTTTTCATCGACCGGCATGAGCTACGACTACGAACCCCCGCGCGCTCGTCGCTACGTGCGAGAGGAGCGTCGGGAGGAGAGGATCGACCCTCGTTACGCAGACGATGGTTATCTGAAGGTCTACCAGTCTCGCGAGATCATTCCCAAGGCCCGAGAGAACAGCGATCTCTCCATCGAAGAAGTTCGTCGTGATTTTCCTCCTCCGGGATACAGAGACTCCCGTAGAACCCGTTCAGCAGAGCCGGGCTATTACGATGACTACCGAGGCTACGATGACCGAGATCGATATTATGACCGCGACTATAATCGTCGAAGCAGAAAGGCCGGAAGTGTCCTCTATGCCGAGGAGGAGAGGTCCCGTAGGCGTGTGCTCAACCAACAAGAAAAGATCATAGCCGCCGTTGCTGGTGCAGCTTTGGCTTTCGGTGGCAAGGAACTTTACGACAGAAAGGAAGCCAAGGAGCATGGCGGCGAAATCGAGCGTAACTACCTAAGCTCTGCAGCCTTGGGCGCTGCCGGAGCGCTCGCAGGCTACCAGGGTGCAGAGTACTACAGCAAGCGTAAGGAAAAGGAGGAAGACAAAGCCACCTATGTCGTCCACCGCGGTCGTGACGGCAGGGTCACTGAGTACTACTCCGACGACGAGGGGGAGAGGGAGAAGAAGAGCAACAAGTCCTTCCTAGAGAACGCCCTGGCGGCTTCTGGCCTGGGAGTTGCGGTCAAGGCTCTCACGGGAGCAGGCGGTGGTGATGACAGGCGCAGCGACACTCGCAGCCGACGAGGCAGCCCTGATTCGAGAGGCTCTCGGTCCAAATCTCGGGGGCCTGGCGGGGAGGCTGCCAGCAAGATGCAGAAGGCGGCTATGGCTTCCCTAATTGCTGGTGCCACCGAGGCCTTCCGCGTTGCCAAGGAGCCTGGCGGCTGGAAGGGCGAGAAGACCAAACGCATCATCACTGCAGCTGCCGGTGCTGCCACCATTGATGCTGCTCAGGGCGGCGAGAAGCAAAGCAAACTGGGTCTGGCCGAGTCCGTCATCGGTGGTTTGCTGGGAAACCGTGTCATCAACGGATCCAAGCGCAACATCGAGGAAGACCGGAGCACCGGTCGAAGCCGATCCCGGTCGCGCGCTCGTTCTGATGGCGGAGGTGGCGGGCCGGGCTTGGCCGCTCTGGCTACGGCTGGACTTGGTGCTTTCAGCGCAAAGAAGGCAATTGAAAATGTTCGCTCTCGCAGCCGAGGCCGCAGTGCCGACTCTTATGATAGCCGAGCTTCCAGCCGCAGCCGCGACGGCCGACGCCAGCGGAGCAGGAGCCGTAGCGTTGTTGACTCGGCCCGGAAGAAGCTCGCCAAGATCGGTCTTGGCAGTGACCCTGAGGAAAAGGAGAGGGATAAGTATGCCCGAGATGACAGCTACTATGACGACCGTAGCTCCCGCCGTGGCACAAGCCGACGATATTCTGATGAATATGATGACGGATATACCCGCGGTGGACGCGATGCCGCCTACGAAGACGACAGGTCCTCGTACACGAGCCGACGTCGCGACCGTTCCCGTCGTAGAGGAGGAAAATCGGATGCGAGTTCGGACTCGGACCTTGGTGACTCGGACGACGACGCGAAACGTGCTAGGAAAATGAGAGGTAAGCAAGTCATTACAACAGGCCTCGCGGCCGTTGCCACCATTCACGCAGCACATGGAGTCTATCAGAGTATGGAGAAACGCAATGCACGACAGAAGGCTGTGAGGGAAGGACGGCTTAGTCCAGAAGAAGCGAAGAAGCTCAAGACGAAGGCTATTGTGCAAGACGCCGCGTCTGTTGGAATCGCTGCCCTCGGCATCAAGGGTGCTTGGTCTGAACTCAAGGAGGCCAAAGAGATGACCCACGAATGCAAGCAGTTCCAGCAAGAAAAGGCCCTTCGACATCAGAAACGGCTCGAGAGGCAGAGGAGACTCAACAACGGCTACGACCGCAGAAGGGGCAGAGCGGATGACTGGTACTCTTCTGAGTCTCCCCGAGAAGACCGATACGATTATGGGTCGACATATTACGACGACAACCCGTACACTGCCGGCCGCTTGCCTGCACCTCCTGCTAGCTATGACGACGGGAGGTATAGAAGCTGAGGAGGTGGTGCGACAGGAGCCAAGTCTTCCCAATCGCCATGTTTCTGATCTTTACCGTACACCCTGAACTGCGGCGTTTTCTGCATCTTGCCCCTCTTTGCCCTCAATACACTGAATCTACGGATTTCTATGTCTGTATGAGGTTTTACGACGCCACGACATTTGCACAGATTATTATTGCAGCACCACCCGCAACTATTCTAAGCAACAAAAGAATTAGAGAGACTGAATAAAGAGGGGGATGTAGAACTGGCGTTCCACACTTGCCTTTCAAACTTGCCCTTCAACATGCAGCCGTCTTGCATTGCGTTACTCAGATAGATGGATTCTCCCCCTTTCTCCCCTGTTGCCAAATCTACACGCATTCTTTTTATCGTACTACAAGCCAGACAGATTCTAATTGGATTGTGACAGACCATCGCCGCCGTTACTAATCGGCCCACGCCGTCATCCAAAGCCAGATGAATTGGCAGCTGGTTGGACCATGTCTCGTTGCTGACGGGGTCATGCGAATGATGGCCCTACCGACCCGAGTCAATCCGGCAACATGCAGCTCAGACAGAATGGAGCGCACGATGGGGCCAGGGTCACAGCTGATCGCCAGGGTCCGATTGGAATGAAGAGGGTTTCTTTTCTTTCGTTTCACAATCGTAGGGACGAGGCGAGAACGAAGAGAGAGGCCTGGCCAGCCTCCGCCGGTAAGACCCAACTGATCGAACCTCGCAGCCAAGCGAAACCCGATGGGAAAGGAACCCCTGTTCCTGAGACAGACAGGATATTTTTTTTTCACTAGCGCGAGAATGGACAAGCGGCGGTGAAGGGGCGACCAACTTCTTTGGGTGGTACTTTATCTTTTCTTTTTTGGTGGTAAAGGTTGGGGACAAGTCGGGAAGGGAGGGGACCGATATGCGGGATGATGATATACGACGGAACAGACGGCGTACGTCGCTGTGAGTCTCGTAGCTCACACTAGCGCCCGATCAGCAACGATGGGGCGATGAGGGAAGATATCCCCTCGAGTACTTGTCGCTCGCTGACCGAAGAGTCATCTTTTTATTGATTTGGTTTGCAGTTTGCCAGTTGTATTCCTCTTTAGTCTTTTCCTTGCATGTCAGTATTCTCTGTGGATGGGACATGCCTCTTGATGTTCAATTTTGTACTAGGCAGGCCATGCAGTTTTCGACGACTATGACATATGAGGTTTTGCGCAAGCTTGCCTCCCCACATGCACCTGCACTATGTGCGTGCCGGCCGTTTGTTCTCCTCGCTATCTGACACCACCGAGTGTGGTTCTTTGGCGAGGCGGTTGACTCCGAAGCCAGTCCTGCGCTCCCTTCCTCCCCCCTTTCCGCCTTGGCAGGGCCAATGGCCTGATGTAATAGGAATCAATGCAAGCTCAACGCCGGCAAACTGTCTCGTTGTTGTGCACATGCCACATGTAGTCATACATGGCACACGTGGCACAGCTTCGTCATTGCATGTTTAGCTCGTCTTTGGGAACCAAATGGAATACCTAACATGGCTGGAAGAGACGCCGGTACAGAGCAAAGTACAGAGCAGGCCGACGTGATGTGATATGTGGGATGGGAAGGGTGGAGGGGGTTGGGAACCTGGGCTCATCGGTAAGCCCGTTTTGTGTGTCTTGTTTCTCGATCTGTGGGCCAGCCTGCGGAGTAAAGCACATGGGCAAACCCCGGCATCCTCTGTTGTTGGTTCAACATCGGCTTTGGGGGTCTGGGACCGATCCTTTCAAGTGGTGGCTGTGGTTGCCTGGCGGTGACAAGCGGCTAAGTGATCAGGAGCAGAATGACATCATTTCACACCTCGATGGGGCGCCTGGGGCCATGATTGGTGAGGCATCGTCAGATGACTGATTTGACATGTCTCGTCTCTCGGTGCCATCCATCTCAATGGCAAGATTCTCGTGTGTCTGTATTTGTATTTGGCATCCTATTTCGATGCCGAGTACCAGCTCGGCGTCCTGTCGTCAAGTGGACGTACCGGACACTGGAGGCCCCAATGTCCTTGGGTTTGCCCGCACACCATTAGACGGAAGCTTCGGACGGCTGACAACACCCGGGATATTCTTGTAATAGAAACTGTTTTCGTACAATCGCACCACTCATCCGAACCGAAACTGAGTGTTCTTCTTCTTCTGCTTCTTCTCCTTGTCTGGGAACTTCAAATTGAACATGATCTGATATCCGTGGCATGATACAATAACTAAAATGATAAACATTTTGCCATGCGGATGGGGATGTTTTCTATGACGCGGCATCTCCTCCCTGCTGCTTCCAAGCCTGCGCCATGGCCAGCAGATTGGACAAGTTCTGGGTCTGCTTATCGTCGGCCGGGAAAACGTAGTCGATGTACTCCTCGAAGCTGTCATCGTCGAGGCGCCTCCTACGCTTCGTCTTACGCGGCATCAACTTCTGTACCTTCTCTACATCATCGGCGGCGCCGTGCGTTCTCTCAAACGACAACCAAGCATTGAGTAGCGTGACGGCCTCCTCCTTGAGATCCTTGTCGCGCATGCTCTTGTGTGCGCGCTCGAATACCTTGCGGGCCCGCGCCTTGGCCTCATTGCTAATCGGCGCTTCCTCCTCCGCCTCGTCCTCGTCCTCGGGTATGTTAAGCTCGAAGTGCGCGAAGCTGATCCAAACCTTGACGTGGTCTGTCTTCTCGAGAAGACGCTCGTAGAGTTCTCTTGTCCTTTCGTACTCTCCTTCTTCTTCCTCGAAATCGATATACGCCTTCCACAACAGTTCGGGCATGTCGAGAACCGGTTGACTCACAGCCAGCTCGAAAATTGCTCTGGTACGTTCAAGGTCATCAAGACCGCGCTCGAGCTCGGCGAATTTGATCCAGGTCTGGCAGTTGGACGGGTTCCACTCGATGTGCTTCTCGTACAGTGTTCGGCATCGTAAGAACTCAAAGAGCTTGAGCTCCAGCTCAATGTAGCCCCTAAAGAGCTTATCCTTGGGGCACATGCCGATGCCCTGGCCCAGGGTCTTGCGGGCCGCGGTGAGCTCGCCTTGCCGGATCTCGAACTGCGCCTTCAGCAACCAAATCTTGGCGAATGTGAACTTCTTGTGCGGTATCAGCTCCAAGCATACCCTGTAGACCTGCCGTGAGCGCTCGACATCCTTCGCTTGGAGCTCCTCAAAAATGGCATAGTTAATCCAGAGGTAGATATAACGCCTCCAGAATCTCTTCTCCTGCGCCGGCGGTACCTGAGCAACTGCTCTCTCGTATACATCCCGAACTCTGTCAAGATCGCCAGCGGTTTCCTCGAGACGCGTGTAGTCGAACCAAATATCGTAGTTCTTCGGGTTCTCCTTGACCTGTGCTTCGTAAAAGACGCGGCGCTTTGAAAGAACAACATCCTCGACACCGTCTTTATCTCCAAACTGCTTCTCGAACATCGTATAGGCTTTATGGAGAGCCATGGACCGGGAACGAGGTAAACGGTCCAGGGCATACTTATAGATTGCCCTGGCTCGCTCGTACTCCTTTAATTTCGCCTCATATCTTGCATAGGCAATGAAGAGCTTCTCGTCCACAAACTCGTCGCCCAACTCTTCAATGGCAGTCCCAAATACGTCACGAACCATGTCGCTGGTGCCAAACTCCTCTTCAAAACGTGCCCATTTGATCCAGTTTCTGGGTTCCGGGTGGACAAGGGTGAAGGCTCTGAATATGTCTCTAGCCCGGTCGTATTCGCCATATCGCTTTTCCAGCTTGATGTATGCACTCCATGCAGCTTCATCTGGCTGCCATTGCATCCATCGGTCAAAGACTTGGCGGGTTCCTGGGACGTTACCCAGCATCTCTTCCATATAGACGTATTTGTACCACAGCTTATCAACACGGGGTAGCCGCGTAACGGCTCTGTCGAGGAGGTTTCGCGCATGGTTGATGTTTCGGCATTTCACTGTAACGATGTTAGCGTTCTGGCCCAGTATCTAGTCTGGCACGGCGTCCTTACTCTCCGACTCGATGTATCTGATCCAGAGGCGGATATCATTAGGATGCACATCGAGCGCGCGCTCAAAGACTGATCGAGCGCGCGCAAATTCCTTCTGCTCTAGCTCCCATTGCGCATATCGCATCCAGTTGTTGAGGTTCACTCTGTTGCGCCGGACGTAATCCTCAAACTCTCTACGTTTTCTGCCCTGGAATTCGTGCAGCTCCTCCAAATCGGCAAAGCGCTGGGTTGGCGCCTGCAGCGCAACCTCCTGACGGTCAACTGCCTCGCGAAGAAGCTGCTCGGCAGAGATTTGAACGGGCGCGGCGGCCTTGTTCTTGACCTTGGGCGGTCCTCGCGATGCCTCCATTATCGCGACTTGTTGGTGGTGGAAGGTAGGGTTCTCTGCAAATGCGCGATCGTCACGTTCTCCGGCTTCGAGACTTGATGTCGTGGTCTACGAGTCAGGTGACGTGGTCGACAATAAAGTTGATTCGCGTAACCTCGCGGCTTTTGTTAATCGTCAATGGCTAGAGGTGTCGATCGTGGGTTGTTGATTCCACTCGAGGCTGAGCTGTGGTCGGAAAAAAGCAGCTCTTATCGGGGCTCCAGCCACTCCGATAACGAGCTGATGTGGCTAGGGGCCCACCTGCCACGGGAAAAGCGACGCAGCCTCGCAAAGCTTCCCAGGAACAGAAAGATAACTTTTTAGTCACACAAGCTTCCTTTCTTCGTTGCGCCGTTTCTCATCACATACGATACTACGATCAAGCGCGCACCGCAAAATTTGCGACCGGCACGATGGCCACTCTTGCGGACGAGCTTCTTCAGGACTTCGAGGACTCTGGCTCCGAAGCTGAGGACACTCAGCAAGACAATGCCCCCCTCGGGCTTTTCGACAATGCGCCCGAAGCAAATGGTGGCAAGGCCTTCCACGGCATGGACCTCGATGGAGACCAGAGCGAGCCTGAGGACGGAGACCATGAAATGGGAGGCGTATCAAAAGGCGCCGTCGACCCTGTCGAAGATGCCGAGGATGCCAAAGCAAAGGTCGAGAAGATGCAGTTGGGCAGCGTCAACGACGTTCGCAGCGTCGCCAGTCTCATGCAGACTTTGCAGCCCATACTGGAGGTTAGTCAAGCTCCCGGAAACACGTATGGCTATAGTGTAGCAGTGTTTACATCCTCTCTTGGGAGAACCAGCCCTGACATCGTGACTCAACTATTACAGAAAATCGCACACTACCAGTCTCAACCTACGCCAACGCAGCTTCTCGGCAATATCGAAGACCATCCTGAATACCACCTCCTTACTCAGTCAAACAGTCTATCTACGCTAATCGACAGTGAGATAGTCTTGGTGCACAAATACATCCGAGATCATTACTCAATACGGTTTCCAGAGCTCGAGACTCTTATTACTAACCCGCTAGAATACGCAAAGGTTGTCGCGATACTGGGAAATGGGCCTCTGGATTCGGAAAACATCAAGAAGCTACAGCATGCAACGGAAAATCCTCTAAAGGCGTCTTTGCGTTCAGTTCTCGACGGCCCATCCCTGATGATTGTGACGGTAGAAGCCACTACAACAAAGGGACGAGAAATGTCAGGGGATGAACTGGAGCGTGTGTACAGAGCATGCGAAATGGCCATCTCCCTCGACAAGGCGAAGAAGACCCTTACGGAATATGTCCAGTCGCGGATGAACCTATTTGCGCCGAACCTGACCGCTTTGATCGGCTCGTTGACGGCGGCGCAGCTGTTGAACGCTGCTGGTGGCCTCACGGGTCTAGCCAAGACACCCTCTTGTAATATCCCAGCGTGGGGCTCGAAGAAAGGCGCTGGTGCCGCGGGCTTGGCTACGAATATCGGTGTTAGACAACAAGGGTTTCTCTATCATTCTCCCATCATCCAGGGCATCCCCAACGATCTCAAGAAGCAGGCCATGCGCATCGTAGCCGCCAAACTCGTGCTTGCAGCGCGTGTCGACCGTATACACTCCAGTCCTGACGGCTCTACTGGCGAAGATCTCAAGGAGCAGTGTCTTACACGGCTTGAGAAGCTTACAGAGCCGCCTCCGAACAAGGGTCCACGAGCTCTGCCGGTGCCGGACGACAAGCCATCTCGCAAGCGTGGTGGAAGAAGGGCAAGAAAGGCCAAGGAGGCGACAGCCATGACAGAGCTGCGCAAGGCACAAAACAGAATGGTCTTTGGCCAGGAGGAGAAGGAGGTGGGCTACGGCACCGGGGACAGCACCGCAGGCATGGGCATGATCGGCCAGGGTAACGACGGTAGGATTCGCAACTTGCAAATCGACCAGCGCACGAGGGCGAAACTCAGCCAGAAGAATAAGGGCTGGGGCGGCGCTACGCCTATGAATGGAGCCGCATCGTCGCTCAAAGGGTTCGGGCAATCTGCAAACTCCAACATTGACCTCCGAGGCAAGGGCTTGAGGACGTCAGGTGTTGGCACGTCGCTGGGTGCGGGAGCGGGCACAGCATCGTCACTGGCTTTCACACCCGTGCAGGGGTTGGAGCTCGTCGATCCCAAGGTCCAGGCTGAACTCAGTCGCAAGCGGAAAGCGGAAGAGGACCGGTGGTTCAAGGGTGGCACTTTCACGCAGGTGGCCGGCTCTTCGTCCAATAGCGGAGGTTTCAAGAAACCCGACCTGCCCCCCAACAAAAAGGTAGATACCGGCGCAGGCAAGATGGGACCCCCACCCCCGCGAAGCGGCTGAAAAAGCTCAAGTGGACAGGGCAGGGCGGCCCGGCCACTTTGCTTCATCAAACAGGGTACAGTGCGGACGCGGACTGGGGGGGCAGTAAAGGATCATGAAATGCACTGCGTATTTTGTCCCACCTGAACAGCTAGACCTGGTAGAGGGAATGGCACGGTCTCATCACGCGAGAAGGGTCAGCGGCAGACAGCTCTCAGCCGGCTTAATTGGCGTGCGGCGTTTTGGGAGGGCGTGGAGGGTTCATGTATGTACAACATTTTCTTCAGTTCGGGTCAAAATCAGGCAATCAGCATACCCCCGGGAGTGGGGAGGGAATGAAATTAGACGATATCGTTGCTCCGGGGTGGTATACTGAAAATAAGGGGACCAAGACGTCGTGATGCAACTCACTTCCCGCTCCCCACCCTACCGGCAGCGATGCAGCGTAAGGGTATTGCCTGCCCATTTGGCAGTTCTGCTTCTGCTTCTCATCTCGGCCTTCTGATTTAGAAACCTTGAGACGAAGAGCCGAGATCCTCATATATGGAATGGCTCAACGCCGTCAACGGTCGTGTCGATCAAACGTCTACTTCAAAGCGTCAAAGGTAGCATGGCATTTCTGTTGCCAGTAAGCCGCCATGTGCTTCGTCTGCAATCTTGGCGTTTTTTTCTTTCCTTCCATGAGCGTCCTTGCGGTCCATGCTAAGTCTAGTATCTCGCCATGCCTCCCTTCTTGTGGAAACTTTCCCCCCTCCCTTTGTTTTCCCCTCAATGTTCTCGTGACTCTGGGGGGAAGGAGGGGGCGTAACGGCGTGATCATTCATGTTTTGTGCTGGAAGTGAGTCGGGGTGCCCAAGAGGACGGACACAGCAAACGCTCGTCCCTCCGGTTAGGGACAAGCAGCGAGGAGAGGAGAGAAAACGTTGACCGCTGGAGAGTCTATTCAGGGCCTCGAAGGGTCTGTGATGCCCATTACTTTCTTTTTCTGCCCGTGGCCATCTCTGCCCTCGTTGGAGGCCAGCTAACGGTTCGGTTCCTTCTGTGCGTTCGTTCCTCACCCCTCAATGGCGTCCTATCCGCAGCGCGCAAGGTCTCTTGTTAACCCAATATTGTCTGATGGTGTAAACTAGGGGGAGGGAGAGGGGTAGGTATCTTGGTGGATTCCAAGGTTTAGCTATTGTTAGGTTTTGCGAAGAACCTTACTTCCCACCACCGTTTGCTTATCCAAACCCCTCTATACGTACTGTATCAGGTCGAACAACTCTGCAAAGTTTGAATGACACAGGAGCGTTGCAAGCGCGAACAGGGCGGGGCGGACGAGTGCGAGGACACAAACTGCAAAGGTTGAGTTCAGAGCCCAGAGCTCGAAACCGTCGTCGTCCGCGGCCCATGTCGGCGTCGTGCATTGGATCTTCACGCCGCCACGCGACCGAACGCCACGGTGCCCGTCGTTGCCAGTAACTAGAACCCGGGAGGGTTTCCGGGGTACGTAATTCCATGAAACAAAGAGACCCTCGAGCCTTCGCCTCCCCCTCATCTTTTCCTTTCTCCATCCTTCACCTCCTATTGGATCCCGCGAGGGCCGGAGTTGATTCCGGAAACGAGGAGACATCACACCAAGGGAAAAGGGAATGGATCGACATTGGACAACAGGTTCGATGGAAAGAAAACATAAACTCGGAGGGCTCCTAAGAGTGTTTACTGGGTTGTCTTCCTACATAGTATATTCCGCATATCGCCGGTCCCTGGGCCGCCGCCAGCAGAGATCTCGCCACACGGTGCACGATACCTCAGGTAGCCTAGTTGTTGCTTGATCAATTGGGGGGCACTGGAGCGCAGATCCCCATCGGTGCGTATACCTTTAGACGTGTAGATATGCACAGTCGTTCTCTTTTTATATCGTTTATTTGACCTTATTTGGTGACGCTACCTAGAATCGTGGGCAAAATCGGAAGACTGAGGCCCCCTTTTGGCCCGGCATCGAGGACGGGCCCGGCGATTTCGTCCACGACGGAACGAGAAGCGGGGCCGAGTATACATTCCCCTTTGGGCACAATGACGTACGGAGCATAGGAGCCAAGAGCTGCAGCCGAGTCCCGTGGTCTCTTAAGAATTTGCAAGGTGGAGCGGGTATCGGGGGACGGTGTTAAACAGGGTGGATTCCTTGCCCCAATGAGGATGAGTTCTGCTGAGGTCCCTAGTAGGTATTTAGTAGAGGTTGGTCTCATTACCTCTGGCACCATGGGCGGCTTATGTTGTAGCAGCAAGGGCCTCTGATCCTTATGCTATGGCTGTGCGCTTTGATGACAGCTCCAAGGTTCAACTTTGTGGCTGCAGCTCAACCCATGTCGAACTGACGGTCCAGAACGTCAGGGACCAAAAGATCGTCCAGATACACACAGGGACTACCCCAGTTGAGCCGGAGTACCTTACACTCCGGAGTAGGGGGGAGGAGGGGCTAAAAGCAGGGAATACCTACCTGCCTACCTAGGTACCTAAGGTACAGAGACAGGTACGTACTCAGTACAGCATCCAGTGGAAGGGCTAGGGGTAGTGGTGTTCGGTCGGATGGGTAGGACTTCTGTCTCTCAGAAGCGTCCATTGAGTGCGCAATCCCATCCTCACTAAATGCTGTGTATATACCTAGTTGCAAAGCATCGGAGGGAATAGGTTCGTTGCGAGCAGGAAAATGTTAGATGGCGTCGTGATGCCTACCGAATAAGTGAGAATGAATGGGCCTCAATGTCGACAAAACCGAACTCAGGTACTTACTACTATGTCACAGGACCCACTTGATATGGGTCGGTGAAAATGCAGGGATTACACACCAATGACGTATGGACGATGCCTACCTAGTTGTTTTGGTCCAATTGCCAGCTGGGAGGGCCGCGGGGAGAGAACCTTTTCCTCTCGCCGATGGACAAGCCACAGCACAAAGGGACGCATGCTATGTGATGTGGCGTAAGGGGATAGCCCCTCTGAGATGTACGCAGCAACATGTGGAAGAAACAAGACCAGAAATCGCCCAGAGGACAGCGGGCAGCTCGTCTGCCGAGGTTAGCATCGAAAGTTAGGCACAAAAGTGGCAAGTCTTTAGATCAAGAGCTTGAGGCGATGGGATTTGATCAATATGGTTCAAAACCTCTTGGGTGAGAAATTGTCACCTGCAATCGCTGTCGAGTCACTGGCGCGATTGGGAGCGCGCATGGCGGGCTTTCGCTGTCTGGGCAACGAGTACAATACGTATCCGTACATAGTTTGCTTAACAACACGCATTAGGCACGGCAAAGTCTGATCCGGGTCCGTCAGCAATGAAGCTCCATTTCGAGGTGGAGAGAAGGTGCTGCTTTCGTAGTTTGGGGTGGAGAAGAATTGAGTTGCGGGCCAGTCCAGGCCCTGCCAAGGTGTACCGGTGTATCCGCCCGGCACGGCAGAATTGTGAAGTTAGGTACCTACTCACTCGGGTGAAAGAAAAACAGATACCATTTTCCAACACCACCAAAACACTACAGCTTCCAGCAATTCAATACCCCGTTCAAAGTGAGCAAAAGGCTCTATATTTCTTGTATTTGATGCTTTTGGCCTCGAGAAATTCGTGAGCGCCTCGTAATCGTGCCTTTTTTAGTGTATTGAGGTGTATTGCAGTAGTAGTGATGAAAGTAGGTGGATAGGTGGGTGGTGAAAAGGTATCTGTTTTTCTTTCACCCGAGTGCTACTGTGCTGCGCCGGGAGGTTTGAGGATGCCAGGGTGCCTGGAGGTGATGTCGTATGCTTTGGGGACGAGGGTACGAGTGGGCTTGTCAGAATTATGGGAGCGGGAGACTTGAAAACTACCTGAACTACGATGTACAGGGTGGCAGGGGGAAGTTAATTACCCCTATGATGTTACCCCCCACAGCTGATATCATAGTAGAGGGGGAATATTCACCAAAAGTGAAGTCCTGCAGTAGGGGGGTGAACATTAGTTACCTAACAGGGGTAATTAACTTCGGCCGGATACCATTGTACATAAGAGCAGTGTAGGTGCAATGACATACCATGTACAATAACCACGTCTTCGAGGCTCGCAAATGTGTCGCCAGATGATATGAAGGACGCCACCGAGCCCCAAGTCCGATCGAGCAATGGGATCGGAGACGGGGCGAGTTTCGTGACACCAATGGCTGAAGGCACCCGTACGGCGACGGAGGATGGCCGGCCAAGGCTCAAGCCCAACTCTGACGGGATTCAGCTTTTCTTCGGCGGACACGCGGGGCGAGAATGGGGACCGATGCCCTGTTTTACCTCTCAGCGCAGGATGACATGTGTAATCCCGGGGGTGCGTGGGTGTACGGTAAAGTGCAGGCCTACCAAGCAACTAACATGCGATGGCAGGCGTTGCCGGAAGAAGTACTCCGGGCTGCGTACTTTGCGTACCTGCCAACCGCGATCGGTGATCAGTCGTGATCAGGTGGGAATATTTGGCGGCTGGTACGTTGTCTTCAGGGTCTAAAGTTGGCACTGAGGGTGTGGGTCGGGCTCCGTTGACAGCGAAGAATCCTGGTGCCATAGGGGTCGTGATCGTCGATCTATCTGATGGAGGGGAAAGGAGAAGGGAGTCCGCGTTGCGCCAGACGTTCTCCGAGAAGAATGGGAAAAGTCAAAGAAGGTAGGGGGGGCGTGCGCGCATGGCTCGCGGTTTACTCCGGACTGGGATAGGTGGGTAGCTTTGTTTATACATACACTACATGGCGCGACAGATACCGCCTAGCAGGCTCAAGCGCATGGGTACAAGTGAGCCCACACAGTAGTCGCCGGATGTTTCTGAGATAACGGTTCATGTATGTAATAAGGAACTAGAATTTACGGATGCCGATGGAGCAGAGCGTAAGAAGGGGCCTCGGTCATCATCATGGGGCGAAGTGGCCAACGCTGCAGAACGTTACCCGAGACGGAGGGACGAAAAAAGGAGGAGGGAAGAGGGTAAAGAAGAAGACGAAAAGAAAATAAGAACTAAAGAACGAGGGTCAAAACACGGCGAAACCCCAGCAGGATCCGTATCTGTACGTATGCTATGGGATTCCCAGCCCAGGGATGGAGAATTGGTTTGGGGGACGCATGATTGACTTTGACTTTGACTGGAGACGGAACGAGTGGGTGTTCCGTATGTGATTTAATTGAACGGTACTGGCTCGGCGGGGAGCTAGGACCCTGGAGATCGAAAAAATCAACGATGCGCCATAGACATCGGCGATGGAGGGGGGAGACAAGTAAGTAGCCACCACATGGGAGCGGGGCACTCTAGTCCTCACTAAAAGAGGGGGGTAGCTCTGGAGCATATGTGGAGCTCTGCCATTGGGGTAAGGGATGGGGGGCGGGAACGGGAAAGAAAGACGGAGATGAAGGGGAAAGAAAGTAAACAGAAGGGGAAAGGGGACCATGGCAACTTGGCAAGGATTGAAGTGGGGTTCTGGGTACGTGCCTACTCGGTCCAACTACTACTACTACTACTACTACTACTACTACTACTACTACTACTACTACTACTGGAACAGTCCAGAGCTGAAGAAGAAAAGAGGAAGGGCAATTTATTTGCCTTGGCGCCATCGGCACGAAGGGGGGTGAGGTTAGCAGAACCAAGGACTGACAGGGACCCAAGGTCCGGAGGCAAGGGACCCCAGGTTGCCAGTGGCAGCTGAGGGGATCGGCACACCAACACACCCGGTGGGGCATCAGACCGTTTTGAGGGCAGTAAGCGCAGGCTTGTTATACCGATTCACTGCCATTCTCAAGATCTCCACGATAACTAGGTATGCAGTAGAGGCGGCCGGCCGCAGGACCCTTCTTCTCCGTGACACGCTTTGCTCAAGTTTTTTTGTTTTTTTTTTTCCCTCTTGCCGGAAATCAGAGAAAGACGCAGAGGGGGTAGGGGTTCCTTGCTTTGCCAGCCCGTCGACTCGTTCCTTGGAAATGCGAAGCATTAGTGCTGCCGACCCGACCTTCTCTGAAGCTGAAGACCCAGTCCCTTCCGCTCCGAAGCCCCTTGGGCGCGATCGCAGATTGATGACTGTTTCGCGCCCAGTCTGCTGAGTCGCCGACTCGGATGCCATAGGTGACGACTTGACTTGGTCGCGCCTGGTGTCCCTTCTCCGAACTCACCTCTCAACCGAGTTTACACTACCTTACCTCGCAAGGTTTGGTTCCTATCCGAAAGGTACTAACTACCTATATACAGATGGTTGCCTTGAGGTTTGTATCTAAGCTCGAGCAGCCCGTGCGCTCACCGCCCAAAGTAGCGTAGGTAGGTAGTTTTATTTTCCTCAATGCTGTTCTGAGCTCCCAGCTCCACGTACCTAGGTACAGTGTTCACTACCTACTTACTGGAGAGGCCGGGCCTTGCCTTAGGTAGTCACCGGCAGGGAGGCTCCTGTGATCCAACTCCCACAAGCCGGCCATCCACTAGGTGCCATTGGTTCGCAATACGTACAGGTACATTCCAATAAAGGAACTGCCATCTATCCATTACGGGACGCTGCCGCGCCGCGTGCACTGCACCCGCGCGCGAGGGTAGCGTCGCCGCCATGTCAGTCGGTCGGAGAAGACTCCGCTACCAAGCGAGAGGGAGTTGCGTCGGCCTTGGCCCATGCGGCGACGATGATTCAATTTCGGTGAATCCACTACCAACACCACAAGGGAGGAGCGGAGACTTACCATTTCCTGCTGGACAATGTGTCTTACCGGTGCTCCTGTGCTTAGAAAAATTGGCGACGGTTCTCTCGGTAACAGCGACTATATCTCTCTGCCGCCGGCAAGCCACTTTCAATGCCACTGTCATTGCCATGAGAAAGCGCCTGTCTTGAGTCGGGTTCTGAGGCCATAGGAGCTGCGGATGACCCTGCTGGTGCAGCAAAGGGACCGACAGATGGGTGGGTATACATACTATGTACATAGTATATCGTACATTGCGACACCAAATACGATCAACACGCACGCTTCAGTATGCATCCCCGAGCAACTTGGACTGTGAGGGGAGGTAGTTGAGAGCAGGTGGGGGACGTCGAAGAGAGTTATCAATAAACGTTGGACATGGACGAATGGCTGAGGATGCATTTGTGGGGGAATCTCATATCACTAGCCTCGGATTCAATACGGGCAGAATCGAGATTAGCTGGGCCGCCAGCACGATGTAGACTCAGTGTAGCATTGCATGGGTGGAGAGAGAACTTTGACGTATCTACATCTAGGAGTAGTAGTAATAGTAGTAGTAATACTATGTAGTAGTGCATTGTCTAGCTGCCTGGTATCTACTCGTGGCCTGTCTGTGGTACATACGGAATAGGTGGTGGGAGCAGCGAAGCGGTGATGGCGACAACCCGTGTCGATAATCCTCTGGAGATCATCAAGTACCTACCTAGGCAGCCTTAGGGAGTTCTCCAGATGGCGCAACGCCAAGTGATCAGCGACAGGAAAACCATCCAAAATCAGGATGGAATTTAGGATACGTATCGCCCTGTCGGTGTGTGTGTGTGTGTGTGTGTGTGTTAAAACGGCGGTACACTTCGACATGACCAGACGGACGGGAATTCTATCCCACCAAAACGGCAAGGCGCGTTGCAGGGACTTTTCGAGCCTTCAGAACAGGTTGTGTAACTGTACGTATACTTCGTTCTCCCTAAGGGTTGGTAGGCACCCGGTGGACAAAAAAGATGGCACACCAAATTTTACCCACCTACCTATACCCCCCTTTTTCCCCCCTTTTCCCTCCCTTCTTTACTTTATTATTATTTTATAGCAAAACTAACTTTCTATTATAATGCCTGGTTACGAAGTTTAGACTCTAAAAAAAGCTAAAATTTAAGGAGTAATTGAATATTTATAGAAGATTGATCTAGATTACCTAAAATAATAGGTATTTAACTACTTTTAAGTTATAAGAAGAACTAGCTATTGTATACTTTAAGACTATTTATAATAGTTCTATTATAACCCTTTTATTAACGAAACACGTGGCTGGAGAAGCCTTATTACTGACTCTGACCTTTGTATTCTTGATGAGTTTATATAGAGAGGAGGCTAGGACGTATAAACCTTATCTTAAGGTACTTTACTATAAGAAGTAGGTCTTAAAGTCTTGTGTAGCCTAAGAATAGTCTAACAGGTAATAGGTACACTAGGATATTATAAGTGTATTACCTACTGCTGTAGTTAGGTTAGCCTACGTACTGCTGCTAACTAGGTAGCCTTTATAAAGCGTATGTTAAAGTAATACCTTTGCCCTAAGGACTAGCACTAAGTACGATTTTCTAATAAATATTACTTTAGCCTTAGGCTAGAGGGAAGACTATATATTATTTAAAAGCCTAGCGAGAGGTAGTGCCTAGACTGCGTCTAAGAAGTAAACGCACCTTAAGATAAAGATTAGAAGCGTATTTACGTATAGGCTGCAATTAGATATAAGTTTAAGAGTCTATTAGTTTTTTATAACTTAGGGAATAGGAATAAAAAGATAACGTATAACTGCTATATTAACTAGATCCTTAAGCTAGTAGTTAAATCCTGGATTAAGTAAGGTGATGACTTTGTTCTTGAAGAGGATGGTGATAGTGGCTATGGGCCTTTACTAAGAAATAAAGTCTGGGACTGGAAGACTTAAAATGGCCTAGAGAGCTACTTTAATTGTTATGACTCCCTAGATTTATTGCCTATTAAGAATTACTAGTAAATACCTAAAGAGCTTGTATAGCACTTTGTATATTAGTTAGAGGGCAAAGTTAAAGAATTAGTAGAGGAGGGCTGGGGGTAATTATTACAGTTAACTATTAATAACTAGGTTAATTTAATACCTACCTGACTGTAGGAAATAATTGATATGGATGGTAAGCGTACTTAATGGTAAATAGAACTACTTTGTATTTAATTTGATTGATTTGTATAGGTATATTTATTAATTAAATGCTGTGTGGTTTACGATAGTATGGTGTAGGTAAAATTTGGTGTGCTATCTTTTTTGTCCACCGGGTGGTAGGTAGGTCTTCATAACCTCTCTCTACCATGTCCGCTCTAAACCCGCGCACGGTGGTCGAGACACGTGCCAGGAGGTACCGCTGTTTTCTTTTTCTTTTCTTCTGTGACCGCCAATCGTCCAAGGCAGGGGCTCCATCTTTCTTCTACCTGCCTTGAGACAAAGTATAGCAAGATCTCGATCGAGGCCGATTCTTTCTCTTCTCGGCCTGGTACGTAAGCAAGGCAGAGTAAGCTAGACGACCCTTCAACGCCACACCAGGACCAGTCCTTTCCACCTCCTCGGGAACCTTTCCGGTCGAATATGCGCTGGCCGATTGAACTTGGTCCTCGATCCGTACTTACTTATATTCTTCCCTATCCTTCGTTCCGTCCCCAAGCTACCCCCCCGGTCCCGTTTCTGCCACAAGGGCACCCCAAGAGACCCGTTGTGTGGCCTTTGTCAAACCCTTGAAGCAGGCTTTTGTCTAACTACTACGTGTACCCTACCTATCCATCGCAGTCCCTCTTTATAGACTGGCTGCTTTGGGGCTCGGGAGAAATACATTGGTACCTGGCATTCCAAGCGTGACAATAATCTCATACATCCAGGATATCGGCTTGCCCCGTCTCCATCGCAACGAACCACGCACGCAATCGTATACTTGAACGTGTTTCTCGCCGTTATGCCTAGGCTGATCCCTCTAGGGGCAGAGCAGATATCATGTGGGTGTCAAACTGGACGGAGAGATGTCCCCGACTCGGATCCGATGAGGGAGTAATTTAGCATGTACACCTCTCAGTACCCAAATCCAAAGGCGCGGTATCCGTTACAGCATGCTCGAAAACTACCCGCTGCCCCAGCGCAAACAAATTTCCACTTCGGGCAAGCTGGCCGGTGACACCTGCACTGGGACGAGTTCGGGCCCAGCAAATCGTCCCGAGTTGAAGCAACTCACGCTACGTGCCTCTCTCAGATGGCCGTCGTTCCCATGCGCGATAGGGCCACGAGGCCCCTACTCGATGGAATCGCATAGACCAAAGTCGTTAAAGCATAAAGACAACGGCTTTAGACTTCCCAGCCTCTTTCGCAGAGTTGATTTGCGGATGGGCCGGCAAGAGCTGAGTCGAGTCCAACTTCAAAGCGCAATAATTCAAGCCGGCAACGGGCAACAAACGGGACGGGCAACACTCGGTCAGCTCTGTTGAAACGATGAAAGTCTCTCGCAACCCGAGGGCCAACGTTGCGAAACAAACCTGTCGTGGGTCATTTCTCGGCTTCTACAGTACGGTAGTGGCATGTACTACTGCCACTGCCTGTGTCCCTCTAGCAGGCGCAGGGCGGTGCAATGTAGTTTCGGTACATGGTTGACCAGCCTGACCTGCCTATGACGACATTGGCAGGGAAATCTCCCTCCCAGAACATGCACTGCGGCGCCCTGCAGGGCGTGCGTAGGGTCGGGGACTGGAACCGGGAGGGGGTGTGTCCAAGACCGGTGACCCCTTCTTTACTACCTGCCTATTCGTAGGTTAGATACCTACCTCACGCCAGTCCGGGCAAGGTAGGGGGTGCAGCTGCGGTATCTGCCTCTCGGTGTCGCATGGAATTCAGGTACCCTTTTACCCCCCAGGCCGAGTTCTGGAGTTTCTCCCTCCCTCTCCCTGTCTCCTCGAGGAAACCACCACCGCCCAAGACTGACGATGCATGGCACAACAACAAGGCGTAGCCAATGACATTAACAAGTCTGGCAGTTTCCAGAGTCGTGAGTAATCCTCCCAGTAAATCTGATCATTGTGTGTTCCCGCCTGACTGGATCGATCAGAGTCCATTCATAACCCAAGTCCCACCGCTTAGTGCTAAGGGACAACCTCGAACGCCTGGTTCGGCACCGCCATGCCTCGAGGTACCATGTCTGTCGGACTTTCGCAACATTGTTGGAACCCTGACCGGATATTGACGTCATACTCGCGGACCCTCGGTTTGTGCAGGGTCTTACTCGTTGTTATTTGGGGCTAATAGCACTACGGCCGAGTCAGGTGGGCGTCCACTTTCATTCGAGATCGCGATCTGTCTCTTGTGGTGTGTGCGATACAATACTGGGCGATTCGTCCCCGGGGACACCGGCTAGGTACTACATTTTGCAGGCTCAACGAACAGACAATGGTGAGAGCACGTCTACAGCTCTAGTCAGCTAGACGCTCGGCGGACGATTCCGCCCCCGATGCGACTGACACCTAATTCGTAGAAAGGCAATAGTCTCGGTGTCTCACTCCAGGACAACCACTATATTTCCCGGGAAGCCGGGAAGCGTTGGAGACGACCCTGGAAACGGGGTGCAAGAGGGCTGTTCCAGGGTTCATGAACGACCATGCGGATCGCGTAGACGGACGGGGTAGCTGTCGACGTGTCAATGTGCCGACGTGCCCCGATGTCCGGTTGCCATGTTGAAGTCGCGAAAATACATAGTAGTGGACGAGGTTCTGCGGTACGCATTCGGTGCGCACCTGGCCGGAGCTTCAGCTCCTGTGTGTTTCGAACTCACACGGGTAGTAGGTATGCCACCATCTCGATGACAAAGAAGGATACCATGATATAGGGTTTCCCACCTCCCCAGAAGAGTGGGGCCGGTAGCATCCCATAGAGGGAAATGACGGTCTGCAAGTCGAAAGCAAGGAAGTAGGCAAAAGGAATGCGCAATCCGTGATTGACAACGGCGGTAGAACGGGCCCAGAACAGAATGGAACCACCAGGGAAACCCAGGCTTGCCAAATACGCAACAAGAACGAGCATGGGCTGGTCCCGGGAACCGTCTTAGTATTGTCAGTCTGCGTCTGCATGTGCGTACAGATGAGGTGGGTACATCGTCAGAGTGAGAGGGGAACCCCAATCGATTGACGGGGAACGTACGGAGAGAAAGTCAGAAAAAGAAGAAGGAAGAAAAGAAGAAGAAGAAGAAAAAGAGGGGGAGGGGGGGATACAAGGTACTTTACAGCAAAATGACAGGATGTATGGATATTGTAGAGAACAAGAGTACTGGTAGACGTACAATATCAAATGACGGGACTGGGGATTCAGCAATGGGGACATGTCAGATTGAGAGACTACATTAAGAAATTTGGCTGAAAACCGCCAACTCAACCCACACAGTATTCATTATCATTGATGGGCATCTGTGATCGTAATTCCTTTAGCTAACTGCAAAGGATAGTTTCCCTTGTTTTCTCTGCCTCCCCCCCCCCTCTCTCCCTCTCCCTCTCCCTCTCCCTCTCCCTCTCTCTCTCTCTCTCTCTTCTCTTCCTGCTGAAGTTTTGTTCCATCAAGACCAGACACTGAGTGGGCGTGTAGTAAGATTTGGAAGAAACTGCGGCAAGCGGATGGGTTGTGTGCTGTGTGCGTGTGCGTGTGCGTGTGCGCCGTTCCTTCCAGTGGAAAACAAAAGAAAAAAAAAAGGCCCCCCCCAAGGCTCAGGCTCCCTGAATCCACCTTCTCCCCACTCCCGGGGTACGTAGCCGCCCGCCGCGAAGACTCCGGGGCTACCCTGCAGAGCATGGAGGCTGGAACCAGGGGTGGATGTAACATAGACAGGATATGACCCACGGGTGTCGTGAGAGTGAAGTGAGAGTGAGGTCTGATGAGTGGAGACTGGAGGGGACTGAGGTGGAAGAGGCCACTCAGCGGAGCGGGGCGAGGGTGAGCGAGCGTGGTGTGTGTCTCACGCCTCGGCCGGACCCTCAATCCTAAAGAAAGGTACCGGTCTTTCCTTGCTGCTCGATGCTCGACCCCTGTTTGTCTACATTGCAGCACATACCACAACTGGTCAGCGACTTGACAGATGTATCTTTTTCTTCCTAGCGTTGTTTAAACCTTGGACAACTCAGGCCGGGTACCTTCCAGCCCACGTACCTTTTACGGCATCCCGGTGAACAACGAAAAGGTGCGCAATTCTCCTTTCCCATGCCCATGCCCATGCCCTTACCCAATTCTTTCATCCACCCCATTCAGCTTTTCTCTCTTCTGCACAGTTCCTGACGACTACCTAGTCCAGCCGACCCTTGTTATCCTCGTTGCGGTACTTCGCTTCCGCCCACCCCCTCCCCTTCCAACCTGCTGACCCTTCCGAGCATTTCTCTCTTTCGCTCTTTCTGCGTCTGTCAAGGAGACCAGTCTGGTATAATACTTGACATGCGCCTCACCCTCTCGCGCCTCATCCACTATCCCATTGCTCTTTCCTACCCTCTCCCCTCTCTCTCTCTCACCAACGTCCAACCTCATTAGCCAACACCACTCTTCACACACATAAACCCATACCAATCCAGGAGACATCCTTTAGCATACTAACATCGCCCACCCTTATGCTGAACGCGCAGTGGGAATAGACATCGCCGTCCATCACTACCCCATAGCGAACCACCATCACCACCGGTACTATCAGTTGAAGACGAGAATCCGTCTGCAATTTTAGCCTTTTCAACTCGCCTTTCGTCGATTTATGATCAACCTGGTCACAATGCACGCTCGAGATGCCACCGGCCGTCAGGTCTCCCTTCTTAATGATGAACCCACTGTCCAGCCCATGCCTCAGCGCATCAGCTATCACACAGCAAATCAGGTCATCTCTCAACCGTTTCACCCGGCGCCGCGTAGCAATTCTTCCTCTCCACACACACCCGAGCTCCTTCGCTCAGACTCATACGACTCCAACGCGAGCAGCGATCCTTTGTCGCCCATGACTCCCACCACCTACGACCCAAGTAGAGTCGGCGCCTTCCCTGGACAGTCGATTCACGACGAGTACGAAATGCCTCCGAAGCGCCCTGCCTACGCCAACACCAGCCGCGCGAACTCATATGAGGAGGATAGCTCAGCGACGTCACCTCTGCCCGAGCGCCCCGGAAAGCGGTACCCTTGCCGTTACCGTGACAGCCATGGGTGTGAAAAGACCTTCACCACCTCTGGACACGCTTCTCGTCACTCCAAGATCCACACTGCCGAGAAGGCCGTGCAATGTACTTTCCACGGTTGTCAGAAGAAGTTCACAAGAGCCGACAACATGAAGCAGCATTTGGAGACTCATTACAAAGACAAGTCTCGCTCTACTGCCTCCGCAAAGGCCGCAGCTCGCTCCTCGCTTGGCGGGCTGGCATCTTCAGGCCGTCGATCTTCATCATCCTCAGCGAAGGCTGCTGCCAGCAGCCGCCCTCGCGACCAGCCCATGTGGGAAGGGGAATCACCATACGGCTACCCTCCCGGTCAGGCGCCGCTCCCGTCACCTGCTGCCACCGGCGCATGGGATATGCGTGGCCTCAACCTACCCCTTCTCAGCCGCCCCAGCGCGGCGAGGACACCCAGCAGTGGCCTCGATGCATTGGCTATGGCTGTTGCGTGTCAAGAGGGTGCATAAGAGAGGTTTCTGGTAATGTCCATTGGGACTGCCATTGCGCAACTCCCCCCGTACAGTTTCAACACGGCCACCGGGCGAGGACGCAGCACAGCCCGCCTTTTTTAAGAGCGTCACGTTTTACACCCTACTTTTTCTGACATGATCCTCCCGCTTCTTTTACATGACTGATGAAGCAATGGGACTTCGTAGGGTTGGCGTTTGGGCACATTTGACGATACCTCTTACATTGGAGGCCATGTGGGAGCTTCCACTTTTCTATCGTTATCTTTTTCATTTATTCTCTTTTATCGTTACCACTCACTTGGGTTTTGGGATAGAAGGTCGCAAAGCATACGAATGGCGCACCTGCACGCACATACACGAGGTGGACTCAAAGGCAACAAAATGGGAATGGCGTTGATGCGTTGAATATTATCTGAAGGCTACTACCCTGGGGCGGATTTCTCTCTTGGTTGGCGTTACTTTCTCGCGGTTTCGTACACATACCCGAATCCTCGATTCAACCAGCTATTACTCGAGGGGCAGACGCATCACTGCGATTGTTTATTTATGGTGTGGGACAGGAAACTTCTGGGTTGGAGTGGGGGGATCTACATGACGGCTGCTCGGAGAGGAAGGCGAGGCGGTGGGGGGTTTCTCTTTGAAGTCAAAAAGCGATGACAGCGGGCATTTGCTATCGAAGCATGCGCTCACAACGCAGTGGACGAACCTTCGTATACACGATGTCGGGTTTACTATGATGTGGACAAGAGTGCTTACCAAGCTTGGCACCACACAGGTGCCCAAGACAATCAAACAAAACACCTACTTCTCAAAACATGCATGTAAAGTTCCTTTGGAAATTTGTCTCATTCAAATGTCTCGATTGCCACGCCTGGCACCTCACGAAGAATTCCAAGCAGTCAGCCTCGCATGGCTTGTCAGCGGTTGGCCATGAGCTTGGAAGAATTCCATCGTTAACTGCATGGCGCATCCTCCGACCTGATCGACCTCCCGATCGAGTTGCGGTTGCAGAGGTCGGCAAAGGACGAGGGGGGCAGGGTGTGAAAGCCAGATGAGCTGACCAGATGGTTGGGGGAGGGGGAAACAGGGTCCCCCTTGCATAGAGAGTATGGAGGGATTGTTGTTCAGGGCCGTCTCGGATCTTTCTTCGAGATCGAGATCTCTCTCCCCCTCAACCCACATTTCACTCTCAGCTCTGGCTGGTAATTTACCTACAGGTATTATACGTGAGACATGCACACACATATATTCGTACAGCCATATGGCAGACCTTTGCAGAAGCCTCCCCGGACCGAGCATTAGGGTCGACGACGGCGGGCCACTATCATCCCCAAAGACGCTCAGTTGGCGGGAAGGCTTGCCTCCCCCCCCCCCCCCCCCCCCCCTCTCTTCTCAACGTCGAGGGCGGGAGAAGAATGCCCGGTAACTTGGGTTCATCGTGCCTCACCATGCTGGAATGGATCACGATCGATAATCCGCTCCTGCTCCATCCCCTGCTTCGGGGCGTTGCTGAGGAACAAGGGCGACACAAAGATGTCGTCCGCCCACCTGCTCATTGCTGGGGCATCCCTTGGTGCTTGTTGGCCCGAATACGCTGGATTATGGTGTAAACGGTCGTTGCGTTCCCAAGATGCGCCATCGCACGATTGTACGGCTTGGTCTTGGGGATGGGGGAGGTGTCATAGTGTCTGTTGGGGCGTGGCTCCTTGTATGGTCTTGGCATTTGCTCGTTTTTGATGCATCCACGTCCCTTTCATATCCTTCTTTTTCAAAGACGCTAGGATCTAGGTATTATTCCCCACCGAGTCCAGCATTGGCAGCTCGTCCCACCCGTCCTTGGCCAGCGCTGTTCTGCTAACCCATATACCGGTGGCTTTAATAGCATGTGCGGAAATAAGAACCCGCGGTCTCGAGCTGTCATCGCGATCCCACCGGAAATCGTTCGTCTCCCCTTGCGACTCAAGACCTAATCTTGCCAGAGCGATTCATTTTCGGTGCAGAGCCTTGCCATCTCGTATTGCTCGTCCGTCTGGCAGACCAACGTACGACGCTTGGCGTCTTTGCCAACCTCCTGGACCGTATCTATGATTTTCTTGCTGTTCAGAGCATCATCGATGGTGAAGCCCAAGCATGCGCATTGCTCGGCGACCCGCTTCCGCAGCTTGTCGCTCTTTTCGCCAATGCCACCTGCAAAGACCAACGCGTCTACGTTGCCGTTCAGGGTAACAAAGTAGGAGCCAACAAAGGCACATATTCTGTCGACAAAAATGTCGAACGCAAGCTTGTGAGCCGGTTCATCCGAATTAGCAATTACTCCAAAATCAGTTGTTCCTGTAAGCGACTTCCATCCACTACGCTTGTTGAGAATCTCTTCGGCCTCGGTGAGGTGCAGCTGTGATGTCGAGTTGGGGGATAGCTTGCCAACGTCACTTGCGTAGTGGAAGACGAGACTGTACGCATCAAATTAAGCTTTTGAGAGATTGAACAAGGTGAGAATGGCGACTGCAATCACTGACCTGGGATCTACACTGCCGCTTCTGGTGGCTCCAGGCAAGCCAGCGACAGGGGTCAAGCCCATACTGGTATCCCAGCTCTGACCGTTGCGGATGGCACATGCGCTTGCTCCGCTTCCCAGATGAAGGGCAATGATATTGAGATCTTTGGGTTCCTTGCCGAGAAACTCGGAGACGGCTCGAGTGATGAAGGAGTAGCTGACGCCATGAAACCCATATTTTTTTAGGTGATTCTTTTTGGCAACATCTTGGTTGATGGGGTACGTATGAACGTGCGCGGGAATCGTCGTGTGGAATTGCGTGTCAAAGCAGGCGACATTGACAGCGTCGGGAAGCTGCTTCACGCACGAGTTGACAATGTCGAGAGCGGGACCATTGTGTAAGGGCGCAAGGTCACTCAGCTCTTCCAGGTGATGGTATGTGTCCCGGGTGATTATTTGAGAGCTAGGATAGTCGCCCCCGTGGACGATGCGGTGGCAGGTGAGGGCAATATCGCTCTTTTTCTTGATCTGAGGCAATTCCGAGTCCTCGATCAGTAGCTTGAGAAGAACCTTGAAGGCGTCGGCCTGAGTTGATAGATCATCCTCGAGATCTTCCTTCCTCTTGACCTCAACCCCACCACGCGTGTATGTGACCTGTGCGGGTGGGGCCGTCAAACCACTGACGGCCGCCTCTGCGATCTGCAGAGGTGACCGATTAGGTTCGGCGGAGTAAACCGAGATCTTTACAGAGCTAGATCCCGAGTTGATGGCAAGAATGACCTTCATGCTGGGCACTTCGGGTGTTGTAGAGATGGCGATGCCAAGAGTTCGTCCCAAAACCCAAGCGGGGGATAATGACGTTGTCGTGGGAAAGCTGTGTGTGTCTCGGTTCTCGGCCTCGATGCAGCCCGTGGAGTCAGCTTTATCTACCGTCGCTACAATGGCCGCCTGACAACGGTGTCAAGGCTGCAATTGAAATTCGGGCCAATGCCGCTGAGTAGAGAAGTTGCTGAGTGGTTTTGACTGGCGTGACCTTCACGATAAGGATCATCAGCAGATGTTGGTAGTGGGATGATTTTGGAGCAAGGTGTGTGCAGGCTCCCGAGCTGCAGAGCTGCAGTATGAAGCCATGGTGACGTTAATACCACCATCATGCCACCATCACATTGGTCTGCTGAAGCCCCACCTCAGCTCAGCACCGGAACCCCGCGCCGGGCCTTATCGGCACATCCCTGAAAGCACGTTTTAGTGGATCCATGTGTACCTACAGTGACATGTATTAAGTCTGGGCTCACCTATTCAAAGTGGCACATTGTGTGGTGAGGCCAGACTTATTATATGTCACTGTATCCGTACATAGCCCTGTCAATCCTGTCATCCTGTCAACGCCCGGACCAGAAAACTCAAAGGAGTGACTTCGTGCCATACACCTACACACCACACACCACTTTTTAGAAGTCAGGCCCGCTTTAAGTCAGGCCAGTGCTCCTCCAACGACAGCTTGACACGATATTTCCAGCCTGTTCCCTCAACCCATCCTGGACCCTGCTGGGCTTGCTCGTCGTCGTACAATTCGGGCCTGGAAGATCCAAACCTGAAGTGATGGGCGTTACAAAACAACGCCACCCGAAAGGCGAACCAGTCGTCCACGAACTCGTTACGTCCGTCACATCTGACTCTCGGTCCCTACTCTGGAGCTTCATGGATATTGGAGCTTGTCATTTTTCAGGCGGCCAAGTCGGAATCGTATGAATCTGGCGGCTCAACGACTGGCTCTAGGCCTCTCGAGATATCTGGTGATGGAAGTTCCAACATATCACCTGGCAGTATTTGCGGTGACGGTAACTCGACGTGATGTGGTGGGAACGATATACCATTGAACTCGCTGTCGGAGCTGTGCGCCACGGCCCAACTTCCAAGGAACCTACGATAGTCTGTTGATTGCAGATGAGATCAGCCTTTGACTGGATGGTGGATAGGAATAAAACAGGGTGATCCAAGCTGTATGGATTGCTCAGTTCGTACCTTCACGCTTACTGAATTGGATACCCAAATACCGAAAATCAAAAGTGCCAGGCGACGAGCTGGTTTCCGAGTTTGGCTGCCCTCCTTGGGAGCCTGACCGTACGCGCAGACGCATACGATGCGAAAATGTGAAGCGCAAACGGGACGAGCCGCTGCTGTCCGGGGCACTACTACGCCGGCTTCCGCGCACCGTGAGGCGGACTTGGCGATGCCGATGGTCGCGGTTGCGAAGCTCGCCGTCGAAGTTGTGCAATTCATATTCCTGGTATTGGCGACCTTCCGCGCGATTGGTGAATACGGTCAGCGAGTGGTAAGTCGAACAGCGGTCCCTCCAAAGCTTTAGCCTTTGTACGAGTCCCATGCCTCTGATGTTGCCAAAGCTGTCTGTTCTTCCGTGAACGTCAGACCACACAACATCGACATCATAGTAGTCTACCAAATCCTTCCGACGCACGTCTCCTTGGAATCGGATCGAACCCTCGACGGTAGTGAACTCATACTTGACCTCCATAAGATGATCGTGGATTACCACGCCTTCGCCTGTTGTATACCGGACCCGGTGTGGCTCACGGAAACTGACGAAAAGCTCGAGCTCGCATGGGTCTGTGTAGGGGCGATGACGGGCATGGAGAGTATGCGGAAATATATCGGCCGGAACATCGGATGGAACTGGGTTGCGGTCAGACTGGTGGCAAGCGTTCAGTTAGAAAATGGAGGCAAAGTACGGAAATGCTCTAGAAGCTCGCTCTGGTAGCTGCATTGCCAGAGAACGCGGCGTTGTTCAGAGCCAACCACTTCCCAGGGACCCAGGTAGACAGTTCGTTCGTTCGGTGTGTTTTCAAATAGAGTTCTGGAATATAGGGCATGTCAGAAGGGGAAACATGAATTGTCTTGGCAACGACGGAGGGAAATGAGCCCGCAGTGCGTGTCTGGAGACAAGCACGAGTGACGGGCGGGTAGATCGTACATGGTGGCCTGGTAACCAGGAGGGCCGAGATCTAGAGGATGGAGAGAGGCCTGGGGTGCCGAGGCATCGGATGTGAGAGCTGAGATTGTCGAGGCACCTGAAGTCGGTGTCCAAGTCGCGTCGAGAGGGCTCGCGTATGGTTGACCGTAGGAGGGTGGGCGGCCTAGGGAAGAGGAAGTGAAGGAAGAGCCAGAGGAGGACGAGGCGGCCATGCTTGGGCGGCCTCTACCCGTTCCTTGCTTTCAACTCTCGACTATGGTCAACAAATCAAAGTAAGCCATGCAAAGTTGAAAGTAAAATCATGGCATAGTATGTGCCGGTTGGGTATATGACCGGTTCGTCTCGTTGTAGGTATCGCGGACGGGGAGGAATCTTGGAATGAATGCATTCACACGGTGAGGCGTCGGATAGCCTGCATTGGCAACAGACGTGCCGCTTGGCATGAACACCGTGTAACTCGGAAGCCCTGGGACGGAGGGCGATGTGGAATGGATTCGGACAGGGAAAAGGGAAAACCTGAGAAGAGCAGGATCGCCGAGACACAAGGCGGATGGTAGTCAGAACTCCGAATTCAAGAGGCGGTGCGCGGGGAGCCGTCGTTTGCTCTGTAGCCGATGCTTTGCCAGCGAGTCGGCCCGCAGTGTCTCAGTTCTCGGTGCCGTCGCGACCTCGAGTAAAGACTGACGCGGCGCCGTATGAAATCGACCTAGAGGTCGAAGGCGTAGAGTACGTAGGATATTTTCTCGAGACAAGGCAGCATACGGCAGACAGCGAGCGACATTCAAAAGCCAAACGAGGACGAAAAGGGCCGGCCAGACCAACGGAGCGGGGCCACATTGCGGCGGTGGCGGTGATGGAGGTGCAGAGAGTAGGAACGGGAATTCTACAGGACAGACCTTTGAGTACGGTGGGAAAAGGTCTGAATTGGCCAAAGTCCACGTATAAGTCTCGTCTCCAAGTTACCTTGGGTACGAGGGAGGAGGACCTAGGTACCTTGTAGTGCTCCAAGCAAAAACGGTTGGGTGGGGTTCCTGTCAACCGTCTACACTAGAGACGCTAACGGTCGGTGCCATGGCTCGACTTGGCCGCCGCCACCGGACTGGGCCAACCAATGGCAGTGCTAACAATGACTGCATGCTCAAGCGACTGGCGACTGCGCTTCTCGTCGTGGATTTCAGCTCTCTGTCCACCCCAGCATGCATCAATCATCTTCTGGTCTGTCTTGCCTATCGCAACCAAGGCCTTGGATTCATCAGGGACACTCGTGTGGAAACGCTTGAAGAGTGCCTACGTACACGTCTCCTGCGCATTTGATCCATGAGGGTGCTTCCAAGTCGAGACAGATCTCTCAATAACAAGACTATATTCCAACGAAACTCAGTGGTCTGTCTTGTCTGGGTTTAATGTAGGAGGGTTGCAACATCGAAGAGCGAACAACAGGCGGCCAGGCCTCCCAGACTGGGCTGAGCTGGGCTGTGCATGACCTCCTCCCTGCTGAATTGGGAACCAACACCAGATATTGGGTCAAGGTATTCAACCAGGCAAGAAGAGGGAGACGCGGAGGCTCGATTCAGTTGCGGTAAGGAATAAGCCACCGGAATTTTCTGGCCAGTCTGCACTTGACGATCCTCGGGCTGCTTTTGGCGTCCCTTCTGCGCCTGACTGAGTGTGTCGTCTCTTCCTTCTTTGCTTTGCTCTGGCAACAATCTCTGTCCCAAACTCGACTTTTCCTCGCCCGGCCAAGATACCTACCTACCACCCTACCTAGGTAGATAGATACCTTATCTGGGTACCTCCTACAGACTTGCGCGTGTTCCGTCCCGTCTTTGTCCTTCTTCCGAATTACGAACCATCCCACACACACTGCACGTCAATTGCTCAATGGTTTGTTTCCCTTATCCGCAAATAACCAACCCTTAGAAACGCGTCTTAGCGAAGCGCGACCATTTTCTCCGACTGCCCAAACCTTCTCATCTGTGTCTGCATATACCTCATTGCCCGAGGGCCTTTCTTTCGTCTTGCCATACGGCAACGCAGCGCCTGTCAGCTTCGGTCCCATGTGGGTTACATGTTCTCTTACGTCTTCTCATATCTTAGTTTCTCACCCGACGAAGCAACTCCCCGCCGAACGTAACCGACTTTACCCAAGGTACCTGATCTGGTGAGCGGAGCTTGGGGCCGTTGCGCCGGAGCCATGTCGGCTCTGCCCGACCCTCTATCGAGGAGGAATCGAGGCTTTTTAGGCAGTGATAGCTCCGCTTTGTCCGCCCGAGACCGCCAGGTACGTCCGTCCGCTCGCCCCCGTCAATGGTACATCACCAACTCCGTCCTATGTATGTAACTCGACGTCTCCGCTCCGTGAGCCGCGGCCCGCCTTTGACGAGCTGCATCTCGGCCCTCGCCCTACATGTTCTTGTCGCTTTCATCTCATCTCATCATAATCCTGCCTTGGTCCTCTTATCTCGAAGCCGGCCCCTAGACGTATCATCCGCTCATCAGCCCTCCAGGATCGCGACCAACTGCGTTATGAGCTCGATCTCAACTCATGGAATCTTCGTATTTGGGGAGTGGCCGCCTCAGGCTTCCTGACAGACTCGTAGGCCTGTCCCGTTGTCATCCTCAACGCTCTCCACTCACGACTGACCACCCTCTCAAGTTATAACCTGTTTTCCACAAATGTCATTCTCGCCTCCATAGCCTTTTTATACTGGCCATCGCCCGATGCACGATGGCAAGGCTTGCTTATCAACTTCTTCACCCTGCTGGGCTCTGTCATTGGCCAGTTGCTGTTGGGTTCCTCGCCGACTTTTATGGCCGAACCCGTCTCTACGGTATCGAGCTTGTACTGGTAATTGTATCGACCATTGGTGTGGCTACTAGCAGCCATGGTTTCGATGATATGAGCTTTTTGGGACTGTTCACCTGGGTACGAGTTCGTCCGTCCACTACGGAGCTGTCGCATTCCCATCCTGCAACGCTTGCTAACCAGTACTGGCACTCAACAGTGGCGTTTTGTGATGGGGGTCGGTTAGTAATTGTTATTGGACGCAGGTCTTGTACCTGGATGGCACGACTAATGATATGTAATAGGCATCGGCGCAGAACACCCCCTCAGCGCTGTAATCACATCGGAATGGTCAAGCACCCAGTCGAGGGGAACCATGATCTCTTCCGTAAGCTACCTAGCTAGACGGCTCTTGTTTGTGATTCTTATCGGCACTGACTGATAACGCGTTGCCAGACGTTCATGATGCAGCCCATCGGCCAAGCCCTCGCCCAGCTTGTAGGTCTTTGGGTACTTCTCGGCCGCGAAAGGAGCGAGGGTCTGAAGACGATGCAGTGCGGCCTTGATATGAAGTTTGACAGAGAATGCCGCCGCATTGTGGACGGTATCTGGCGTATTGTTATAGGTTCCGGCGCCGTTCCCGCTCTGCTTGCCATTATATTTCGTTTTTTCCTGCTCGACTGCGGACTGTACAGCCTTGAGGTCAGAAAAAGGTCTGGTATAGCCTTGAGGAACACGCAGAGGGTCTACGGTGCTCCTCCTGGGACAACGACGGGGTATTCCATGGCCGCCAATGACGGCATGCATACTACGAACTCGCAGCAAACCATGCCTATTCAGTTTTCCAAAGACGACTTGTAAAAATATTTCATCGAGGACGGGAACTGGTATTACTTGTTAGGTAGAGTCGCTACCCTGCGTTGTGTGGCTGTTGGCAATCTCGTAACTCACTGCCACCGTCGCATTCCAGGGATGTCTCACAGTACTGACTGCGCTACAAGCACCGCTGCAACATGGTTCTTTCTTGATGTAAGCTTCTACGGTCTCGGCCTAGACAATAGAGGCACTTTGTTCGACATGTGGGCGACTACTGGGCCGAAGCCCATTGACGATGGGCTACCATGCTGGAACTCCAAGTTTCCCGACGGATTCGCAACAGCACAGATTTGGAATCAGACGGGTAAACTTCCTGTCTGGCAGACGGACGCGACGCTGCCCTGCAACACCATCTACGACGTGCTCCTGGAACAGGCGAAGCAATACCTACTGACTGTGTCCATTGCTTCTATTGCTGGTAGCGCCTGCTTCTTCATGGCAGCCAACCGTATTCCCCGCAGGCTGTGGCTAACCGTTTCTTTTTTCGTTTTGGCCATATTATTCCTGATAACAGGCTGCGTGTACTACGGTGTCAACCGCACCTCTGGCGCACCGGCAACAGTTGTATTTGTGGCGTTGTGTCATTTCATGTTCAACTTTGGTGGGTCATGCAACAGCATTTATCTGCGAGACACTTAGCCTGGGTTGAGAGCTAACAGTATCATCAGGAGCGAACACTCTGACCTTTATCATCCCTGCCGAAATCTTCCCAACATGCTATCGGTGTACATGTCACGGCATCTCCGCTGCCGCCGGTAAGCTAGGCAGCATCGTTGCTCTCTTCGTTGTCTATTGGATCAACTCGTCCTACAAGGCCGAGAACCGGCAGGGGCTGATTTTCCTGCTCTTCGGCTCCTTCGTCGCTGTCGGCGCTATTTTCTCGTGGGCGTACCTGCCCGACTCGCAGCGATGGGCTGCGGATGAGAATGGGTGCCGCGTGCTTGAGCAAAAGACGTTGGAGGAGCTGGGTGAGGGCCGCGAAAGAGCGCGGCAGCTGGGAGAGGTCATCACCGTTAGAGAAAAGCGGCACGATTTGAAGCGGAGAAGGGCCTCGCGGGTGCCATTGCAGGCTTTAGGCCCATGAGGAATTGGTACATGTGCAGAAGCAAAATTTTATCCGTTGTTCTGCATTTCCGTAGTAGAGATTCAAGTACCAGTCACTTGCCAAATGCGAACATGCTATCAGGATTTCCTACTGGCTGCTTCCACATATGTCTCCGGATCGTGTAGACCATCAAATACACAAGTATCCCTCCGGATCCAGAGCAATCTGCAAAGGCTCGACAGTATCAACGTACAGGTCCCTTCCGCTCGTCGTAGCCTTGACGTGCACATTGCTCTCTAACGCGTCAAGCCATCTAGCCCAACGTAATCCCGGCGTAGGGGCCGTCCAACCACAGCGGGGCTGCAGGATGCGCGAGAGGCGGACAGCGAAGGGAGCGAAGTGGACGTCAACGAGGGACAGGCTGCTGCCGAGAAAAAAGGGCCCCTCCTCATCGGCGGCGAGGACGAGATCCTTGATGGCCTCCTGCAGCCTTTCAATGTTTTGCGGTTGTTGAGCTGGGTCCGGATAACGTAGAAGTCGGTAGAAGGCCGGGACCAAGCGGGAGTTTATCTATAATGGCATGAGTGAGCTGGGTTTGTATAGGTAAGAGGGCATCGAGGAGGGCATGACAAACGTGGCCTATCCATTGTCTACAATTTGCACGGAGCTTTGTGTCTGAAGGGAACAACGGGATGTTGCTGTCCATCTCTTCGAGCTGGTACAAACATGGTCGTCAGTCTGGACATGTCGGAATAACTTGAAACAAAGCAATGGGCCCACATATTCCAATATGACACCGCTGTCCGCGCATGCCCAGTCTCCCTGCCGTATGGCAGGTACTGTTCCCCGTGGATTGGCTTCCAGAAGCTCCTGTGATGCGGACGCCCTGTACGGATCCTCTTCGCAATATTGATACTGGAGCCCCTTTGCTTCGAGGGCGATCCAGACGCGGTGAGAAAAGGGGCTGGTGGGACACGAGTCAGCGAGGGATCATTGGAAACGAAAAGACGTACGTGAGAGACAAACCAATAACATGCCGAATATAACTTCAGATCGCTCTGCTTTTCGTGTCTCTTTATGGTCCAATGTGCCTTTCCAGTCGCCTTCTTGGGTCCGTCGCTCTACAGCCACCAAGTAAGTTTATCAAGCTATGGAGCGAATAGGCGGCGTGTAAGGACCCACCTTTGTCAGTTCATTCTTATGTTTGGCCAGATACCGCTGGATGCTATTCCGTTTCACCTCGTCGCTCTTTGCCAAGGTATGCTGATGTGGCCCGGGAATGCCGCTGATGCTAATATGTCCATTCACCCTCTGGATCGTCCAGAACTTTTGTCCTGGCGCAGGCAGATTGTCCGGTGTAGCAGGTGCGACGCGCAATTCCCTCTCGCCAGGAGGTGAGAGGATGGTGTGCACGCCGTTGAGGGCCTGCCCCCCATTGAGTGGCACGTAAGTGCCATCGTCAACATCATGGAGCGTTGCGCCGGGGAAGTACTCGGTGATCTTGATCTTGACATCGCAGAGGTTGAGCTTGCGCGACACGCGGTTGCGACGCTTCTTGTTGGGGTCGTCCGATTTCTTGGTTCCGGGCGGCCGGCCCTTGAGACGGCAGTCCCAATAATGCGAGATGAAAGGCTTCTTCTTGTACGTTTGAGTTGATCTGTGGGAGTAAACATTGTCTACGTGTGGGAAATAGGCCTCGAATCTGGGCGCTTAGGCATCAGCAGAAATACGCACACCGTAAGTGCTCGGGCCTATGTATGATGTGAGCTTACTGTTCATGAGTAAGGATGATGAGGCCGTCTGCGTCGAACAGCTTCTGGCGCCACTCTTGGAGATTCGGAGGATCTATGACCCATTTACTGCTGAGGAGACTACCATGTGGCCGCCAGCCGGGGGCAGTAGTGCCGTCGATGGGAACAAAGCCGCTGGGCCCAATGAGTGACTCTTCCATCCCGGCGGCACTCGGATCAGGGATCGCGGGACCCGGCGCCAAGATGCCGAATTGACCGTGTTGATCTGGAACCTGCATGGCCTGGTCATGGTCAGCCTGCTGCGCGTGAGCTGGGCGCCTTAGTTGCCCGATAGACCCGATCGCACATGGCACGACGGCATGCTGGCGCTGCCCGTCGTGCTCGCCCCCGGTGGACGGCAAGTGCGCTTCTTGACCCCGCATGAGATCCGGATGGAAGATCGGCCCTGGAGCCTCGATTCCGGACATGTCGATCGCAGTATCGGGGCTGGGACCGGAACCGGAACGGAAGTGGGCTACGGTCACGGTACCGTCACCGGCAGCGTCGGACGACGCCGGCGGTGGCGGGACACGGAAGTCCTGCTGCTGCTGTTGTGGTGCGCCAGGGCGGGGACCCCCGTGCGGGGAGGAGGACACGACTGCACCGCTGCTAGCCGTACGGACTTCGAAGGGTGACGCCAGAGCCCCCGGTGGTATCTGCTGCATTGGGGGTTAGAGATGCCGCTGTGTTGCTGCTTTAATGCGTGGTGCATTCCATGAACCACTGCCCGGTCCTGCCGGGCTTTACCGCAGTGGCCGGGGTGAGATACACGTAAGTGGATGGATGGACGTTGAGTGCGGGAGGGCGGCGAGGCGGTAATCTGCGCACGGGCCGCCTGGCGAGGCCTGGGGGAGCTCTGGCCATTGGATGCGGTACGTCTCATCTTCAAAAGTTGGTAGACGAACTTCTCAACGCAGCATTGTACGGAAGGACCAAAGCATGCATCATCGGTTCAAGGCACGTACCTCTCACTCGGCAAAATCAAGTGCCCCAGAACTTCGGGGTCCAAAGTCCGATAGATTCGTGTGGGTCTGTTTGTAATCCCTAGGCTGATCTGTCTCATCCAAACTGGCGTATCGACGTGTTCGTTTGTGCAACCCACGTGCTGTATTTGTTCAAAAGCCGCAAGGCGACAATCGAATAAGCATTCATTGATTAATCTGATGGCAGGAGCTCGTCGCCATTTTGTTCCGCTCTTTAGCCCTGGATCCCAAACACCGTAAACCATTCAAGCCTCCCCTGATTTAATTTGCTGCATCCCACGATGAAAGGTCCATAGCATCCATCGGGCCCATGTTCATTAGGGAACGCAATACCCCCTCGGCCCCAGGAGTCATGCCAGCTTGTCCTTGTACGTCACCCCATCCAGTCGACATCCCAAAGTCCGCCCCCGGTGTATCGGGCATCGAAAATCGCGGATTCGGCGTCAGCCCGGTCCGAATATCGAACGCACTTGTGCTGTTGAAATAGTTTGCGTTTCCATCTGTATCTCCACGCGGGTTTATGTTCTGTTGCGCCGTTGCCGGACTGAGTTCCAACGAGTTCTGGCCGGATCCTTCAATACCCCCCGCCGTCATGTTCACTCGCTGATCTGACGAACTTGAATTCGGCGTCGGCCGATTAGACGAGTTGTCGCCGTCAGGCGATCCCGACATATTATTGTCCCCACTGCTTTCGCTCTGTCCCAGCCCCGTCATGCGCCCACTGCTCGACGCCGACTTGTCGTACATGGAGCCGGAGCTCGGCGTCAACGCGTTCCCATGCATAGGGATACTATATGCGTTGTTTGCGCCATACGGCACGCCGTGTTCCGCAGACAACCAATTCTGACCCCCGAAGCCAGTCGATACAGGGTTCGGAGCAGCATCACCCGTTTGGTCGGGCTCGACAATGTTTGGGGCGGTGGCAAGGTTCCCGTCGTCCTCCACAGTCTTCATAAAGTGGCACTCGTTGCGGTACGACATGATACCCTGTACACCTTCGGGGTCGTCACAGATGGGCCCCTTGGTTCCGCCAGCATTTGAACCCGGCTACAGACAAGTCAGATCAGGCGCAGGTCTTCTGGAGGAAGGGAGGGTACGCACACTTTCACCACTTCGTGGGAATGCCGTCTTGAGTTTTGGTATCCTCATCGCAAGAGCTTCCAGGTCCACATCCAGCTGGACGAGAAAAGACTCCGTGAGGGGGTTTCGTCTCTTGAGCGCATTCATGGCGGAGAGGAGAAATCGGAGCGAGTCTGCAGTTTGGCTGTCTTCGGGCCGGCTTTTGAGATACTGGACGAACACTCTTGCGGCTACGTACAGACAGAACGATATGAATGGGTTCATCTGGAACGTGTTAGTAGCTGTTGTGTCATCAAGGTGTACAATAACTTACTGCTGATAGATCCAAATGCGAGATCATCCTCATGATGCTCGCAATCTCGTTGGCCGCCGTAATGCACCGCACCTTGCTTTCTGCGCTGACTGACGAGGGAAGTCTATTCTTGTCGGCTTTAAAGATCGCGGCTTGGTGCAGACAGATCGTCGACGTGTGGATGCTCATGTTGGTAAAGACAATATTGGGGTTGGAAAGACCAACGGGTAGCTTAAGGTAAGACGGCAGGCAGAGGGACGTGTTGAGTAGGATGTTGTCCATGTTCCGATGTCGTTTCCAGAACTCGCCGTTGAGGTCGTGGTCCCTATCATCGACGTCGGGACGATGTAGATGGATTAAGTTTCGGCCGAAGAGACATGCCATTAGCACGATGCCGCTGAAAGAAGAGAGCTTGCCCGCTCCGGATGGGCTCATGCAGTCCTGCAGAGACTGCGTCTGCTCAGGTCGGCTCATTTCGAACGCCTCTTCCGAACAAGGTAAGTTTGTCATGATGTCCTTCTCATCAACAGTCATCGGCCATCCAGTACCAATGCTTGCGTAACGGTCTTCGCAAAAAGCCATCCAAAAGGTACGCCGCCTCTCCTCACGCTCGGTCCAGTCTCGTGGCGGCGGGAGACACTGTTTGACGTCCAGACCAGCGCCGTCAAGTCGGTGCAAACCCATCCTAGCAAACTTTAGCTATGGTTTCAGAACTCCAAAATATTTAAGTCATCAACTCACATCTGGCAGAGGCGCACAGCAGATCCGGTATTCATCCAAGCTCGGGGGAAGTACATCATTTTGAACTCGTAGGAGGCCAGCAGCACATGTGTCTGAGCATGGGCCACTGAAATCATATGCTCTCCATAGCCTTTAATGTAATCTCCCTCGACATACTTTCGAGCTCTTTGATAGAAGAGATCTTTGAGGTCGAAGTACTTCTCTGTGATGGAGCATGCCAGGGTCCATATAGCGTACCTGAGCGCAACCGGAGGCCGTTGGTTCGGAGCCCTGTAAAGTGCGTTAGTCAGCTTGCTGTTGCACCGACGCGGCGTGACACGGGCAGTTCTGTAGAAAAGTGGTCATCCTACAGGTTCATTGCTGCTAGGTATCTGTATTTATGAATCATAGGCAATGAGGGGTGGATCTTTTCGAAGTAAATTTGATGGCTACAAAGTGCGTGTTAGTCCGAGATGACGGATACAGCATGTTTGCAGCACTGACAGCTCATCGATGGTTTCCTGAGGTGGAAGAGGCTCCTCGAGGCCTAGCCCGATCATTTCCCAGGTGAAGTTACTTCCTGCATTGTTCATGCCCATTGCCATATTGGAGTTGAAGTTGAAATCCTCCATGGGTGGGGCAGCAATATTCTGGGTCTGGGGAGAAGATTCGCCCTCGAAGTGCCATCGGTCCGCGGCGTGGTCGACACCGAGACCGAGAGAAGGATTGGGCATGCCGTAGCTCGTCGTTGGCGCAGCAGCGTTCTGGTTGCGGTTCATAGCAGCGGCATCCAGGCTCTGAGGCATGGTTCTAGAGGGGTCGACGGATGCCGTTGGGGGGTCTTGGGTTTTGAGAAGTGTCTCTACTTGTTCTACGGATGGGCGCAAACACGTTCAGTCAGTCAGGAGGGCACTTGAAGAAAGAAAACAATGAACGAGCAAGCTTGAGAACAGTGCAAAGTACAGATGAGCAAGGCGCAGGATGGGAGTGCTCACTCAAACGTTCCTCAAGGGCCTTGACATATCCCCGCTTAGGGCCGCTTTTCCTACGAACTTCATCGTATGCGCAAGTATGACCCAGCCTGGCACAGGTGCTGCAGCTCGGCCGGACTCCGTCGCATTTCAACTTGCGCTTCCGGCAGATCATACATGCTAGGCGCTTCGGCTTGGGTACACTGTTGTTGTCGGTCGCTTCTCTACCGTTGGAATCGGCGCCTGGGCTTCGGGCTCGCTTGTGGGAACTGGCGCCATTCGTGTCGGGAGGCGTAGGTGTACTTGACGACATGCTCGAGATTGACGGGTATCGTCGGTCTGTGACAGTTCCAAGCACAGATCGAAGGTTGGCTATCAAGAGGGTTTTCTGCGTGGAAGAGTTTGGAGAAGACGCAGAGATAATGGGGATCTGACTGGCAGAGGTCGGATAGCGAGCCAAGAGCCTCTTTTGCGGGTAGGGCGGACGGCGATAAGTGTCGCAGCGGCCAAAGGTTCAGTGATGGCTTACGGGAGGGGCTGCTCGGCGTGGCACAGGGTATGGAGCGTCATGGAGCACTTGAAAATCGGCCAGGCAATTAGGAAAGTGCGTTTGAGGGTCGTTGTGTTGTTGTAGACGTTGCCGGGTCGAAGAAGAAAGTGAATTGAGCGAACTATTAGTCCACTGGAGAGCGAAAAGGACGAAGGATGGGGGTGATGGAGAGTAAGTAAGTACGGAGTACTATGTAAAACTAGTCCTTGATGTGGGCGGGAGGGATTGGGACTGACAAGACACATACATGATGGGCACCCAGCGCAGCACAACCCAGCGCGGTGAGCAGCGCAATAGAGTGTAGTGTAATCAGTACATATGCTAGGGACGTACCTACCTAGGTAGTATGGAGAGTGGTACATGCCTAGGTAGGTACAGTGTCTAATCAGTACCAAGCAGCATGGACTGGGCCACCACCATTCCCTTTGCGGCAGGAAATGATTAATAACATAGAGTTGGCATGGATCCCCAGCGTGGCACACGGTAGATAACCTGCGAATGGGCATGCGTAAACCTCATTGGGGCAGGCACCTTGACACTCAGCCTTCTTCCCTTCCCTCCCTTCTTCTTTTTGGACTCGTTACTACCTATCTAGGTAGGTAGCACGGTAGGTAGGTAGAGAAGTGATATGCGCATAGGTACTATTGTGTTGGGTATTGGGCATTATACTTATAGTGTGTTTTTCTGACTGTGTCACTGTCATTGTGTCTATGCGACCTTAAGAGGGAGCGCCTGGATATTTAGGTAGGCAGTACCTTGGTACGAATAGGTACATAGCATCGTACCTGCCTGCTCAAAGGAAGACCCTGCCTGCTTCTAAGCGAAGACCCAGGGTTGCATCGGACGAAAAGGCAAAAGCCCCCCCGCATGTGCGGTATAACAACTCTAGACCGTTGTCATCTCCAGCAGCACCAGGCACGTAGGTGGGTGGGCCGCACACAAGCCCGTCGCCCTCCGCCCTCCGCCCTCCGCCCTTCTTACCAACTTTCGTTCACTAACATACTCGATTTGGTATTAGAACCCTTTAGACTCTTATTTGTGGGATTGTGTGTAGGTATCGCGAGTTTAGTCGAGCATGTCCCAAACTATTACGTAGCAAATCGCAGGTCCTTCCGCCCGATACTATTCGAGAAATAACGCTTATGAGAAAAGGGGAGGACGTCTACAGTTTACTTGGATCATCCATCGCCCACTGGCCGAAGGTTTCCCTGCTATCATTGGAAATATTATTGACCACTGTTGCCAGACTGGCCTCGACTTATTTACATAGCAGTACGGTCCGAGGCCGGTATTCGCAGTCACGCACGTGTAGAGCACAGGGTTACCTAGGCAAACGCCTGAACACGCACCTCCCACTTGCTCAATCATGCAACACAGCCACACTGCGCAAGGTGCAACAGCCGTCAGGTTGCTGAATGGATGCACCCGTTCCATTTGATCTTAATTTCCCTGTAAACCACATACACTCACACTCACACAATTCCCCTCAGACACACACCTTGTCTCGACAAATCGAATGCCTAAGGAGTTCAGTCTCCTCCTGTCCTTGTCCGCCCGTTGCATGTATTACAAATGCCTACAGGCAGCGTGATGTGTGACGCGTATGCGAACTTGCGCATCCTTTCCAACTCATTTCACTCCCCCATCATCTTTTGCTTGCCATGGCGACCGCAAACGAGAATTGCTCGAGCCATCACCATGTCACAATGTTTGATATTGATACTGCAATCTATTGACATCCAGCACTGCTACGACAGCGACAAGCTTAGCATAGGCACTGTTGAAGACCACCGCCATGGCACACCCCCCTTCGCCTACTCTCACCCATCGCTCGACTCGGCTTCAAGTTGGGCCGTGCTGACTTTGCGACCCCATTCTTTGCTTCTTCTATTCCATCGTTCTTGCAGATCAAGGCCACACCTTCTCATACCCTGCCAACCCTATCTAGAAATACTACCAGTCGTTTTGGCCTTCAGATGCTGAATAGTCCCCGATATCAACCAATGAAGCTTTTGCCCATGCCAGCCTGAGAAGCCCTTTCCAGCCTCGGCCAGCTTTCATGTTTCTTGGACCAACAATTGCACCAAATGGCCGACTAACAGTCATGTTTTGTAAGCCTATTTCTTCTCAGCGTCCACCCCGACAATGCGAAGAATGCCCAGATCGCTGTAGGCCAGACAGTACTTCGTCGGGGCCCAAGATACAACCGGACAAGGCCCAGCTGTCTTTAAGGAGTGAACATGGTCTCCTGACTCGGTATGTCGAACGTCCAGCCCAGGGCCTAGCGATGCGCGGTTAGTCTCTTCAAATTCATCCTGGAAGATTGGCGCTGTCCTGCTCACCTTCGTCGCTGCCTCCCACCAAGAAATTACCATCGAACGTGAAACCTGGTTTGCAGTCAGAGCTATAGTCGCAACACGAGAGCTCTCGGGAACTCACTGAGAGACCGTACTGGGCCAATCATGCTAGTAATGGTCCGCTGGCAAATCCAATCTGTCGTATCCCACAAAGAAATGATAGAGTCCGAACCACCAGTAGCAAGATAGCGTCCTGTTGGCTGCAGTTCAACTGATAGGCAAGACGAAGTATGGCCGTTTAGAGTGAACTCTTTGGACTCATCGTCATGATTGAACTGAAAAGCGGGTTTGAAATTCGGATACGTCAAGATCCGGGTTCTACCCTCGCCGGTCGTGAGGAAGATCTTCTCGCCGCTCCAACAGAAAGAAATCTGATTCGTCTGAGTGGGTTGCTGATGTGATGCAATGGGTATCGGCTGGGTCGGCGACAATACAAAGATGTTGTCCGCCTAGAAGTGTGAGCGTCGAGCCTTATGGTATTAGAATATTGAGGCGACAAACCTTATTTCCAACCACCAATGACTGTCCGTCGGGTGCCCAAACAAGAGTGAAGGCATCTCCCAACCCCTTGATCTCATTGATGCAGGTCTTGGATCGAACATCCCAAAACTTGACGACTCCATCGTTGCTGACACTGCACAACTCGGCATCCTTTACCGGGTTGAAAGCAACCCTTTCAATGGCAGCTGAGTGGCCCTTAAGGTCGGTCGAGAAGCGTACATTTGGCTTCTCTGGGTTCCCTACATAGGTGGAAAGGGTCAGCCTCGCTGCTCCATGACCTCAAATAAATCCCCATAATGCCACGTACAAACACGCAGGGTCTTATCCGATGATCCTGTAGCAACCAGGGTTCCCAAAGGGTTCCAGGCAATCGATCGGATGCTTCGCGAATGGTCAGCAAAATCGACCCAAGCTTTTTCTTGCAAGGGGGTCGTAACGTACGTTTGTCCTCTAGAACTCGAGCTCGGATCGTGGTAGGGCTGACTCTTGAGGTTGGTCAAGTAGGCAGGGAACCTCTCCTTAGAGAGACTAAGCCGTGTCCGAGGAGGCGGCATGGTGATAGTTGATGACTATCTGTCTCAACTAAAGCAGATCAAGATTAAGCTTGTGTTGGTGCTTGTGACTAGACCAGACAAACCCGTAACGGGCCCGCATCGATGTCTAGCCTCGACTTACTTGCTCTCAATGAAGGTGCCCAAGAGGCTGATCAGTACAAGCTGCTCGTTGAACAGAAGGCTGTCACTTAGGTCGGATAACACTGCGACTCAGCTATCCCAAATCCGAAACAATGAACCCAAGTTGAATACACAGCTTTCGGGGCAGGAAGTTAGGCGCTTGATTAAGTAATTGTGAATATCGCAAGGAAGCCAGCGCCAATCTCTATGCTTAACTAGATAGGAAACGACGTCGAATGCTGTACTGCTACATAGGTAGGGTAGATAGGTAAGTATGCAGCTCTCCAGCTTGAATAAAGACCCTGCACTGTGGTGGACGAGACGCGTTTAGTGGGGCTCGGTTGGCTGTTGTTCCTGGCCTACTACGTAGACCAGGTGCCAAGTATGAAGGAAAGTGTATGCTTACATAAGTCGGTTCGGCCAGCTCGGCCATGGACAATCCTTCGGCTACCTACCTTGTGTAACCGGCACATAGTGGGTACGTAGCTTCCAGGTAGAAGCTCAAGATCGGGTAGCGCAGCACTGGTCCACCCACCCCCCCTAAACGCTAACAACTTCGCAAGCTCTCGTCCCGCCGTCGGCCAGAAGCTCCTCGGGGCCATGATGCGCATCCCCGGTTGTTGACCAGCTTCTCCAATCTCCTTCCATCGGCTGTTCTCCTTATTCCGCACCGCATGCTGTAGTTTTTCAATAGGCCACAGCCGATAAGGAATGAAGTTTCTGGTTTAAAGTCCATCAGCGGCCATGACCAAAGCATTGTTTAGCACGACGACAAAGGATATCCACTCGCCGACTCGAGGAGACTCCGGTCTACAACCGACGAAGACTGCCATTGCGACGGCATCACCGCATCAAGGCTTTCTTGTTGACCAACGATATAGGGCCTTACCGAGATGTATTGGCCCATAGGAACCCCCAGAATTTTCGCAACGAGCAGCAGGTCTGGTCCTTCGTTCAACCTTGTCGTCTCCCACGATGGCCTCCCCAATCCCTTCGACAATCGACCAACCGACGAGTCCTCTTCGTATCTCAATGCGCAGTCGCAACACTCCCAACAACACGACGATATAGAGCTCGCTACTCCCCTGACACCCGTAACGCCTGCCATCCAATCCGTTGACCACGATGATGCCCACAGTCCGGAAACAACTCGGCCGTCACCTCGGCCCACCGCCAACATTCCTCTAAAAGATCCGGTACTTGCGCTGCGCATCTCCCGACCTGGTCACCTCTTTGCTGTGATAACCTTGACATCGATGACTATATGGCAGGTCAAGGTCAGTCCTCGCACCGAATACGGTCTTTTCGCATCGATCCATACTTACATCCTCCAAGCCTACAGTCATTCTTGCCGTGGTTGTACGCTCCGAGTCGTCTCTGTCAACATATGGCGAGAATGTCGACCTTTTACTGCGCCCAGACTCGGCCATCTTCGTGGTTCGAACAACTCTGGGCTATCTCATCACCTACTCTCTAGCGACGGACTCTGAAGCCCATGTATACAAGCCTTACTTTCCAAGTTACGCAAATATCCAGCGACGTCGCCAAAACCATCATGGTGGGCCCGGAAGCACAGCTCCAGATCAGTATCTTTGGGGTCCTGGCGAAGGACAAGGGGTGCGTGATGTGAGCGTCCGCTTCAGGATGGTCATCAAGGTTGATGCCGGCATAGAAAGCGCTTTGGCACTGGACGACGAACTGGTTGTGGCTACACGCAAACCAGCAGCTATTCAGTGCATACGCTGGACCCCAGACCAAAGCGGCAGTCAGACCAAGACAGAGATTATCAGTCGAATGGGATGGCTGGAGAAGAAGATCACCATTGTTGAGATGACCCATGATCGACCTATGAACCTGTCGACTTGGATCACAAGTGACGGCAAAGTCTATGCAGTCCAGCGTCTACATCCACGCGACCAGTCTCAGGGAAATTCTCAAGGAGCGGATCCCAAGAAGCTGTTCAAGGGTTACTGTTTCCATACACCGATCAACCCGGAAGAAGCTGCCAGGAAAGCTGTCATAAACGCAAGGTTCTCTTTGATTGCTGTCGGGTGCGCAGATGGCTGCATCCGTGTGTATTCCGCTCGAGATTATGCCGGGAACATCCCGCCTTCGCACACGCACACTACTCCGGTGTCAACGATAATCTCCGGCTCGATCACCACTCTGAGCTACTCCCCTGACGGTTACTGTCTATTTGCCGGCTTTGAAAACGGCTGGGCTACCTGGAGCGTTTATGGAAAGCCCGGCAGTCATAGTTTTGGTGCGCACGATGCGATCATTGAGGCCAACGGGGAGAACTGGGTCGCCGGCGTAGGGGATGCCGTCTGGCTCGGGAGTGGCTCAGAGATACTAATTACACATCATCAACACGAGGCAATTTGGGTACTGGAAATGGCCAGGAGTGCAGTGGTCGGTAACTACAACGCGGCAAATCTCATGCGCACGGTATTACAGACCAGCACGAATGTCATGATATATCGCGGTTATGATCTGCCAGATCTAGCGAGCATATCTGCAGAGCCTCATTTGTGGCATACGGCAAAAGTACCTCCAGCCTACCTTCTTCAGCATTGGCCTATTCGGCATACCGTGATTTCGCCAGATGGGCGATATGTTGCTGTGGCTGGGCGCCGAGGTCTGGCCCACTACAGTGTCAACAGTGGCCGTTGGAAGACGTTCGCCAACGAGGCCATGGAAAACGAATTTCAGGTTAGAGGCAGCATGTGTTGGTATCAGCATATCCTTGTGGCCGCCGTAGAGGCCAACAAGTTGCATGAACTTCGCCTCTACTCTAGGGAGACGGCCCTCGACAACTCTCAAGTGCTACACACCCAGCCGTTACCAGCACCGGTGGTTCTAGTGACCACATCGGGGGAAGACTCCTTGCTGGTATACACATACGAGAATCTTCTGTATCATTTTATCTTCGCACCGACGGGCGGCTCGATTAGGCTGGTTCAGCTTGGGCAAATTGCGTTTCACGGCATAGTGCGATCACCCGCAAGAGTCCGTGGGCTGAGCTGGATTCTGCCGGATAGCCAACTCGTTGACGGTGATCCGTCACAGGATGTCGCTGTTGCATCAGTCTTATTCCTGGTTGATGCCAAACTGGTACTGCTTCAACCATCGTTTAACAGCGAAGGGAATCTGAAGTATGATATGAAGGTCATCGCTCAAAACGTGGAGTTCCATGTGAGCATGAGAGATCAGCCGCATTTCGACGCAATAGCTACGCAAGCAGAAGAGTCATTGCCAATGGGTGCAGACGTGACTCTGCGGAACTCCCTCTGGGCGTTCGATGGCCAGGAATTCAAGCTTTGGCCGGACATACAAGAGGTGTTGCGAGCAGCATCGACTGAGTCACAAAGGGATCTACCTAGGACGATATCAGTTCCTCTGGACTTTTATCCTCTTTCAACCCTTCTTAGTAAGGGTATAATTCTTGGGGTCGAAGCCGATCTTGTACAGAGGCGGGATATCAGCTTTTCATTTTTCCGCTTCGCCATCAGGGTATGTTTGCAGTTTGCCCAACAGAAACAATTTTACTAACGGCCAACAGACCCATCTGTTTTTGCCCGACATTTTGCGTTTCTTTCTGTCCAAGGGCAAGGCTGTTGACGCCGTCAAGCTGTCGGAACAGTATCAGAACTTGGAGTATTTCGCGCATGCGCTAGAAATCTTGCTCCACAAGGTTCTCGACGACGAAGTGGATTCTGGACCAAGCCCGGAGGAGGCAATTCTACCCCGAGTTTTGTCACTGTTGTCTTCTTTTAAACATTACTTGGACATTGTGGTACAATGCACAAGGAAGACAGAAGTGAGACAGTGGCGGACGCTTTTTGCTTACCTCCCACCGGTGCAAGAGCTGTTTGAAGAGTCACTCCAGCGAGGGTCTCTCAAGACTGCTGGTGGCTATCTTATCATTCTCCACACACTTGATGAGTTAGGGTCTGCCTCGGAGCAAACCGTGCGATTGCTGTCCAGGGCGATGAAAGAGGGTGATTGGGATTTGTGCAAGGAATTGGCACGGTTCCTAGCGGCCATGGACGAGACGGGCGACACACTACGCGAGGCCATGGAGGGGGTGAACATTACACTCAAGAGCAATGAGGACCAAACTGGGATAATAAGTCGGCTTGATGTGCCAAATAGTAGAGGGGTGAATGGCTTGGGCCTTAAATACGCAGAACAGAGCGACGAAATGGAGTCAGAAGGCCAGTCGGTTAGCGACGCTGCGAGCTTCAGTTCGGAAGGTCGCTAGATGCCATATGTAGCAGCAAACATTTGAGACAGCGGATTTCTCGAATCACATATACTCCCCTCCCCCCCGGGGGTTTTTTTTTTTCAAGACCATTCTTGACATGCGGGCGGAGATGCATGCGCATGTTGAGAACGCTTCGTGTTGCGGAGAACGAAGAAGACAGGCAATGGGGTTTGCTACCTGGAGATGCTTATACAGGGATATTACGGCAAATCAATTTGGGAAGATAAAGGGTAGGTACGTACCGAACCCCCCCCCTTCCTGGTTTTGGCCTGGCCTGGCGCCACCACAGCCCCGCCAACCACTTTCCGCCTGCAGATGAGCGCAGAGATTCGGCGTCAACCACCACTAACGGTAAAAGAAGACTTTATCACCAGCCCATCACTCCAACATCTATCAGCGACTCGGGCATACTCTTGCACTGCAACAGCAGAAATATTCCGATACCCACAAGAGCCAAGAACGCAGCGCTCCACAGCATCTTGCAGATCTGGGCCATGATCTGAGGATTCGTCACGGGTACGAGTCGCACCTTTTTCCGCAATGATGGACGACTTCGTCAGCGAGTCGGATAGTGACTATACGAGCTATTGGCGAGACTGGGTGAGTTGTATTTGCATGCAAGAAACAGGCCCTTGAAAGCAATCTGCGCGCGAAGGTGTTCCCCAAGAGGCGAAGACCGGATGCAACGCGCTCGCTCTTTGGCTTATGCGCAAGATTTATCAAGACTCAAATATCACCGCAGTTTGCCTGCAACTGCTCGTAGAAGCCGTTGAATGGACCTTGCTAACCAGCATCTCCGTCTATCTAGTTCATTTCCTCTCGGGGCAACGAATACTTCTGCGAGATCGACGAAGATTACCTTACGGATCGGTTCAACTTGACGGGACTGAACACGGAAGTACAATACTACCAATATGCACTGGACCTCATCACGGATGTCTTTGACTTGGACTGCGACGACGAAATGAGGGAGACCATAGAGAAGTCTGCAAGGCATCTATACGGTCTTGTACACGCCCGCTTCATTGTTACGACGAGAGGTCTCGCCAAGATGGTATGCTGCGCATTTCTCACTCGCGTTCTTCATGTCCCTGTCTACATAGACGAGCATGGAATAGAGAGGGGAAGACCGAGAGGATGATGGAACCTTGAGCGAATAGCACGGCTGACATACACATTCCAGCTCGAAAAGTATAAGAAAGCCGACTTTGGCAAATGCCCCCGCGTCATGTGTCACTCGCACCCCCTCCTCCCCATGGGTCTTGCCGACATCCCTAACATGAAGCCCGTTAAGCTCTACTGCGCGCGCTGCGAGGATATTTACAACCCAAAGTCGTCGCGCCACGCTGCCATCGATGGCGCCTACTTCGGCACCTCATTCCACAACATCATCTTCCAGGCTTACCCAGCCCTCATCCCTACGAAGAGTGCCGAGCGTTACATCCCGCGCGTTTACGGCTTCAAAGTTCACGCCCCAGCCGCCCTGATCAGGTGGCAGCACCACAAAAAAGATACGATGCGTCGTCGCCTACGCAAGATGGAGGTCGACAGCGGGTTCCGCGATGAGGACGTGCTTGAGGAGGAGGACGACGTCGAGTTCGAGGGCATAGACACAGCCCGCCCGACGGGCGCCCATGAAGGCATCGCCATGGCTTGAAGAAATCGAGGGAACGACGGTCTGCAGACTACGCTGCGCTCTTACCTCATGAACACGCTACTCGTACTGGTCATGATGTCTGCAAGGCATGCTGGTGCCGCAATCTGGCGAGCTCGCAAAGGGAGGCTTGTCTCTTGTCCCGTTGTGACATACGACAGGCAGTAACAAGTCGTCGGTTCGCCTTGCTTTCCTCAGTCTGCTATTTTCTCGCTTTGGTAGACTCGGTCGGGCTTCCGGAATAACGACGTGATGGCTTTCACGATTTCTCCCCTGGTGCTTAATCATGATCGTACGACTTGCAATCAACCGGGATAGCTGACCAGCTTAGCGTGCGTGCTGCCGCATTTCTAGGTCGCCAAACGAACGCCCCACGTTTTATTGCAGATGCGGTTATCATCTAGTAAAATCAAATACTTATCCTGAAGGTTCTTTTAACGCAACGGACGACGTTTGATGCACAAACTGAGGAAGTCGTAACCACAATTCTATTCCGTAACGGTCGTATCTGCGTGCCATGCCTGGCCCCAAAAATAACATTGCCCTAGGCCGCCAATCCTTTACCAGGCGGGTGGTATACCGTAAAACTCCAATCATGCCCAACGTGCCCATTTTGGAAATGCAATGGGTGCTAACCTGACGAACCGTACTATACGGTCATTAGAAACGGGATTCAGGCTCCGCCCCTTCATTGGAGCCGGCCTTGCTGATGTATTGGGTCGATGATGCTTGACCCGCGACCGGTCTGGGCATGTATGCTTCCTCCTCGTCTCCTGCCCTGATAAAGTCGCCCTTCTCGGTCGCATAACTATAGGATCCGACACCAGACCACCAAGCCTTGTCGTGACTTCGAGGACCCCAGGCCCAACCCGCACCCTGGCGGATTGGGAGGTGGTAGTAGCGAAATGCAAAAATGGAGGTGAAGATGCCAATCATATAGCCGAAGAGAATATCGAAACCGTGATGGCGGAAGTCAAACCAGCGAGAGCCAGCAATAAAGATCGATGCGAACCATGGGAGGACCACGATAGTCAGAAGGTAGATGGGAGGGGCGGCGGCTTGGCGACGGACAGCAGTCACAATCTTGTTGTGCTCCGCCAAGTTCCTGGCAGCGCCTGCCGAGTCGGGGTTCAAAGAACCACCTTCGCCAGACAGTACCTCGTAATCGACGCCGGACTTTTGTAGACGAGATGGGAAGGCCGAGTGAGACTCAGCACCGTTGTCCGAAGCTACAAAAGGTACGGTAACGGCGAACTTGCTGGCGAGGAAAAGAGACAAATATATCAAGCCGGCGGCGGCGGAGCTCGAGTGACCGGATGGATAGCTGCGGAAGCCATCATCAAGTGTGTGCGAGTCAGTGTTCTTGCAAATGTTTGCAGATACGAGTTGGCCAAAACCAGTCGTGCCGGTCAAGCCAGTGATGTTGGGAAAAGTGCCGCCAACGATGTAGTCCTGAATGTTGTCCAAGTCGGGCTGGCATCGCGACAGAAGATCGGGCCTCGGCTTTCCAAACATGTTTTTCATGCCGTTTGTGATAAAGAAGGCGCCGACATGGGCGAGGGCGAGACCGAGGTAGCCAACGTGCAACTCCCACAGTTTACGTTTCCAAACGAGCGACTTCGGAGTTCCCCTGGGAACAGTATTTCCGGGAACGAGAGCGAGGCATACGGCGGCAATAATTATGATAGGGACGCCAACTGCGATAATGGCGGCCAGCCACATAGGGACTGTCTCATGTTCTGTGAAGGGGAAGCTGCGGGATGGGGTCAGTGACAAGGCGTATTGGAGGGGGGGCAGCTCGGCTTACGAGATATTGGGGTCAAGAACGGAAAAGGGGCGTTTGTTCGGCTCGACGATTCCCAGTACCGTTGCAATACCTCCAGCGACAGCAAGGATGAACCAGTCAAAGACGTAGGAGCCGATCAGGGAGGGCGTCCAGTGACCGCGGCGTGGGCGTGTAGAGCGCCTTGCATAGGGCGCAGGCGATTCGGGCATTTTGTAATACGATGGCCTCGACGAGGGCGACAGGTTTGCGAGAGGGATGGAGGAGGACATGAGGGGAGAGGATATGAAAGAGAAAGAAGGAAGACAAGTAGCAGCAGGTCATCCAAAAAGAGGGTGGCTTCGAGCTACTTCAGGTGAACGAGCGAGTAAGAGTAAGGGGAAGGAGAAAGAGAGTTTTAGTGTTATGGGGGTGGAATCGGGACCATCTGCACAGACGACGAAGGCCCAGGGCGCGCGGATGCTGTAATGGCCGACCGGGGTGGTGAATACGGATGGCTGAGGTTAGGTAGGTAGTACAGGTAGGTAGGCTGTACCTCGTAGTCGAGGTACTAAAGAGGGTACGTAGCAAGCCTGAGTCGGTGTGAAAAGAAAAGCCGAATAAAAATAGAGAATACAGAAGAAAAGTCAGGAGAAGGTTTTCGAGGATGAAAAGAGACAGAGTTATCGATTGAAAATTGACGGCCGGCCCGCACAGTGGTGGTGGTGGTCAAGTGACAGGTAATTGACAAGCTAGTACCTACGTATGGGTGGACAAGAAGGCGTCGGTGTATGTAGCTGGAATGAAGATGGGTAATAAGGTGCGGGAGACACGGGAGTTGGGACGAAGAAGGAATGGAAATTGGAGCCGTAATGTGCACAAGAGGCAAGAATGAGGCTGGTTGGGTTGGCTGGCACTGAACTCATGCTTTGAGACAGGCAAGGTGACCAATGTAGTAAGCAGTCGCGTGGCAGTGCTGCGCGACGGCGGCGGCGGCGGGGGGCAATGCAGGGCGGAAGATTAATTGGATGCCTCCTTGGTACCGTAAGAGCTTCAGCAACGGCACACACGGCAACACATGAGTTCATCTCAATAAGAGAGAGAGAGAGAGAGAGAGATAGGTTATTGTAATGTGGCGCCTTTTTGCCATAGCCCTATTGCGTGGCAGCGGTGATTGCGCAATATGTCAAATTGCCGTTTTTGGCCACGGTGAGACTCGTTCATCCCGTATGTGTGTGTATACGCGAAACTGGGTAAAAGAATTTGCAGACGATTGGCGGCGGCCCAAGCATCAATAGGTAGATTGAATGAGTGCTTTACAAGACGTGCATGCCAACACATAACGATGCACCATCTAGCTTGCTATGGTGAGTTGGTTGAAAGTTCAGAGCCCCAACGCCACCGCCAATGCTAGAATTTGTCAGTGTTTCTCGCCGTACATCTCTGTTGTCATTAACCCCTAGGGATAGGACAGTTAGCCCAACGGATCAGACGGCATTGTAAAGGAACTACGCCAAGAAAGCCCACATCCATTAATAACCCCCAAACCAAGTGTTTGAGAAACGTCCGCCTTGGGGGAGCCCGTCTCATGTGTAACTCCAACCAACCGTACCATAAGATAGGTAAGCCAGAAAGACACTGGGGGAGGTAGGGAAGTAAAATGGACAAGACCTAGTGTAAATAAAGCAGGATGAGCCCAAATAAACCAAGGTGAGCAAAAAATAATAATTTTGAAAAAAGAAAAAAAAAAAAGAGAGAGAGAGAAAGAAAAAGAGAGAAAGGGAAAAAAAGATAGTTAGATAGACAGAGAGAAGTCGGAAAGAAGAAGACAAAGAATGAAGGAATGCGTGCCATCTCGATGTCAATTGCTGAGGTTACTCCTTCGCCGGTGGCTAACTTGCTGTCGCAGCCCCGTAGAAACCGCCTCAAAGAATACCCCTTGTTGGTCAGCACAGCGTGGCTTAGACCTTGGCTGTGGACCAGTGCTCCAGGGTCACAGCTGATCCTGTCACTCTCTAACTTTGCCAAGGGGCTTCTTCTCGGCTTCCCTAACCCCTTGACGCCGATGACGTCCGCGCTTACAGGGAACACAAGATTGCGCAATGAAACGGCTGTTGATGGTATCCAACTCAGCAAGGCTGCAGCACCAACAGACTTGACTACCAAACCATGGCTGGCCCTCTCTCATGATATATTACCAAGACCTTCCGTCATGTCTCATGAGTCTAAGCGAGCCAATGCGGAGCTGATTGAACGTCGCATTCATGCATGTGTATCCAACTGCGTGCGGATAGCCTCCATCAAAATCAATCCTCCCTTCATTATCACCTTTTAAGCATAAGTCGATCGGACGTTCTTAATATCATCATCGATGTTTCTCCAGATCTTCACTGTTCGCAAACAACAACGAGGTCCTCGCCCTATAAAGCGGCTGGCAGCAGAGGTGTGCGTACCTGCTCGACCGCTATTCGGCTTCTGTGGGAGGGCGCGATGGTTCTACCTAGTCCCCATCTTATCTCTACCCGATCATCATGGCGATGTATGAGGTGGCGGCGCCATCAGAGCCATATTCTTTTGTGCCTCTTTGCTTTCTTGGAATCGTCCGAAGCGGAAAAACATTGGGTAAACGCCAGGCGAAGAAAGGTTCTTGCCTCGAAACCCGGGTCTAACCCCTTGTCCCGCACTACTCAGGGGCTTTAATGGGCTTTGCAGATCTCGGCTTGATTTACGACCATCAGTCAAACGACGCTTACCTCCCGAAGGGTGACTCCCTGAGAACGGAAATGGTTTGTTCTAAATTCCTATTCATGACAATGTCATATCCCCGGCAAAAAATATTCCATGCTCCCAGAGGCATCGCCTATTGGCGATCCGCCAGGACGCACAGCTGAGCCACAAGCTTACCTATATAATTGGGAGTCTCTCCGCACCCATAGGTACGGCGTCTTAGCTTGGAATCTCAACGCCACAGCCAGGCCAAGATAACAAACCCAGGGCTTCAAGTTTCAACTCGTCGTTGGCCCAGCACAACCGACAAGGCATTATCCCTGATAATACTGTCGGCCCCGCATCATCCATCAGCCGGTCAGCTTGTGCTACTGCAACCTTCAGTCCCGGGCCCTTGTGGTGCTTACCTACCGTCACTAGCTACGGCGAGAATTGCATCCCGGAGCGTCAAAGCATCAGTCGGCTATCTTGCCGTTGACCGGGACCCTCATACCATGTCACTTCAACCAATATGTTTCTGCCAAAAGTGATGTCTTAATCAGCATTGATCCCCATTTCCGAGCGGTGACATGGTAGCATTGTTTCCGAGGAACTTGGATCTCGACAGGAAGGCGCACACTGGCTGCATCCCACTTTGCGAAGGAGCACTCAGTTCTCGTCAGAGCCTACACTATCTCACGTCCGTCCGTCGTTCCGTTCATCTCGGCCCGCAGATCGTCGCAACGACATCAGAATTCTCATATTCCCAAGCATAAGGGTTTCCCTCTTAATCGCACCATGATGAAAGATGCCTCCTAGAGCCCTTGCTAACGGTCTCGCGGCTGACCGTTCTGGCGTTCCGCTGCTATCACCATATGCGGGCATGTTTCGATACTTTTAAGACGCCTCCCGCAGCCGCGGTTCTTGGCTCGACCTGACTTGGTATTCCTTCTCCAAGACTTCGTGGTATTCACTCGTTTTTGTAACCGGATCACCCTCGTTCTATCCTGTTTTCTCATCAGCAACCCTGTACGGTCTTCTTTTTATTATCATTCTAACGTCCACTATGCCCGCGGTTGAGTTCATTATGCTTGCCCTCGCCGGCACTGTAGCGGCCTCGCCCTCCTTGCTCCTACCGGGTGTCTCGCCTGATAATACTTGCGGCACGACAGGAAAGGGAGGTAGTCCTTCAGCGTACACATGTCCGACGGACTTGCCTTGCTGCTCGGTCAATGGCTGGTGCGGCTCTGCTGACGAGTACTGCCTGACGTCCAACGGCTGCCAGGCCGGGTTCGGAACGTGTCTGCAGGATGGCAGTCCCGCCAACTGATTCGGGCGCTGATAGTAGTGACTCCGGTACTGCGCTCTGCGGCCCAAACAATGGGGGCACTAGTTGCGCCGCAAATGAATGCTGTTCTGCTGCTGGGTTTGTGACTAGCGCTCGTGGTCGAGTTTTCTCGCTAACATACTGCCAGATACTGTGGTACAACTCCGGGTTAGACAATACTGAGATGCTGGTCACGTTCAAACCCACACCCCGACTGACACGTTGTAGACCACTGTAAAGCTCCAGACTGCTTCTTTCAGTTTGGTCCGGCATGTGATGCCAACAATATCCCGCCGGGACTTAATACCTCTGACATCGCCCGAACCAAGCTTGGCCAGGTCGAGTATGGTGGCCCTGGTGTATACAGCTGCATCAACTCTGGCGATGTTGCCCTGACGTATGACGACGGCCCGGCTTCGTACACTGACGACTTGTTGGATCTACTGAAAAAGTACAAGGCCACGGCGACTTTTGTGATTACGGGCAACAATAATGCTAAGGGCGAGACTGATAACGCGACGTTTCCCTGGGCCAGCACCATCAACTATGCTGCCTAACCTATACAGGCCCTAGTATCATGATTGACTTAGTATCAAATTATAGACGGATGTACACCGATGGCCACCAAATTGCTAGCCACACCTGGTCTCACGCCGACCTGGTTTGTTTCCACACCTCATCTGTTGGCTACTCGATCTAATTGTCCTGTTTTAGTGCAAAATCACCTCGGCTCAGCGCAAGAATAAGATGTATAAGCTAGAAATGGTTTGCTGTGCCGTTCCATCTACTCTGACTTGACCTGACCGCTGCCAAGGCTATTCGCAACATCCTCGGCGTCATCCTTACTTACATGAGGTCAGCCTCTTCCCCTCTGCGTGAGACCAACTCCCTGACATATATCAACTTCCTCCAAAACCCCCCTACTCTTCCTGCACGGCAGAGTGTGGCTGTGAGGATGATATGAGGGAGCTGGGCTACTCGGTCATATATTTTGATCTTGACACGGCCGACTACCTCCATGACAGCCAGACCGAGATCCAGAAGTCCAAGGACATTGTTGACCAGTCCATCAACTCCAAGCTCGCCCCAAGCCATAACTTCCTTGTCATCGGACACGACATCCATCAGCAGACTGTTTACAACCTGACTGAGTACATAGGGCAGGAAGCAGGTCACTATTGGCGAGTGCCTGGGAGATCCCAAAATAACCGGTACCGCACTGACGCCCGTACTACGCTTAGTTGATCCCTCGTAGATTAGTCACATAACTGCGGACACCGATGGTGTTCCCAATAGTATCAATGCAATGTTTATCTTGGTAGAGAACTAGGAACCTGCTTCCAATTAAAACCAAATGTTGATATCTTGCATTGTGTGTGTCTTGTATATAATGCCGTATGCGGTCAAACCAACATAAAGCATGATCTCATGTGTTCACAATGATAACAATAGGCATGGCGTCGACAAACTTAGTCCTTGCCACAGATGGGCTAGTATCTGGGCGACATATTATGATTGCTCAGACGGAAATGAACCTTTCGTTGTTCCTGATCAGAAATCCAATGGCGCAACCTATCAAGATGTGCGCGTATATGTGTGACACCTGCCTTGAAAGTCCTAGGACATTGGTCACCATGCGAGATGAAGCGTTGCCGGGTTGTCGAAAGAAAGACAAATCAATAGACAAAAACAACCGCGGCGCACCGGACCAAGAAAAGTGGACCAGAAAAAACAAACAAGACAGCCGAAACTAACGGACGGACTACGAACTGGTAGTGTCCAGGAGGGTGCGGTAGGGAGGCTCGTGTGAGCACAGCATCATCTGTCCGAGGGCTCCTGCACATAGACGCGTTTTGACTCGAAGTCGTCTGTCCCATATCGCGAAAACAGCTGCGCTGCAAGACCTGTTCAAGATCAATTGACATGCAAGAGGAAAAGTATGTGTCTGAACAAAACGCAATGCAATGTATTTACCCTTCCTTGAACCCTATTCTCCGAACAGATGTATGTACAATTTCTTTTTTTGCACGATTGCCGTTGCCCACGACCCACGACCCCTCCCCTTCCACATAAGTGTGCTCCTTTCCCACGGGGGCCAATCCTCCCCAACGTTCATCACCCAAACGCCCCCGAATTGGAGAGACGATTAGACGAAGAGACTAGAATACGCAAAACTAACGGATCTCATGTCTTGCCAGCCCAGTGGAAGATAGAGTAAACGAACTCCAGCCAAACCGTCCGCTTTCGTGATATCCTTGACCCGACTCCATGCGCCGTTCATGAGACAAGAGCAACAAGGACCCAATGCACTGGAAATATGTATAACCGGCAAAAATAAGCAGCACAAAGCAGCTGCCTGTAATCTGACAACCGAGTCTGGACCATATAATCCAGACAGAAAAAGCAATAGCCTCAACCATCCCCTTCCTCTCGCTAGCCTCCATGAGCTGTCGTGTGAGAACCTGGCGAGTGGGACGATAGGATGATGCAGCACTATGGACGTGCAGGTCGTCGATATATGCATTCGTAACTGTGACCGTAAACGCTGACGCTCATCCAACTACTCTGGCCCAGCATGTTCTGCAACTCTAGAGTATGTTCCAAGACAAGCGCAGTTTGCGCGTGGCGTCTCTAGTAGTCGTCTTGTTCATCATCCTCCTCAGGGTAGTTGTCCTCTTCCCGAGTAGAGATCTGGTCCAAAGAGAGGTGAACGTCGACAATACCGAAATGCTCAGCACTCTTCTTCGCCCATTGGCGCGTAAGGATAGAGGCTGACAAATGTTAGGTTGACAACACATTTAAGTTTAGATTCGCGAAATGATTTACCTTTGAGAAACTTCTTGCTAGCGTATTTCTTGAAGAATGCTTCATGAACGACGGGGCGCGCGAGGTAGTCAACCATGAGACGGACAACGGGCTCAATCTCATCCTCTGTATAGCCAGCGTAGAATGCAATGGTAGTGTCCTGTTCGTTCGTCAGTAAATGCAGTGCCACACTGACTTAACACCCATAACATACCCAATCGCCGCGATCCAGAATGAGACGGGCCAGGTACATAGCACCAGCCGCAACATGGCTGGGGCGGTACGACATGAATCTATGATCGAGGAGGCTGATCTCCATCAGGTACTTGCCGATGGTACGGCACTGAATGTCGTAGTTGTCGGCCTTGCTGATGCGGCGAAGGAAGTTCATGGGGTTGGGGTAGCTCAGGTCGTAGTTCAAGGTTCCCAGGACAAAGCGCTCTGCACTAAGGATCTCGGCCTCGGTGAAGCCATCGTCGGCGACGTGACGAAAGTTGGCGACATGAGGCGATAGAACCTCTTCGTACTTGGATGCGATGAACATAGCGGTGATTCCAACAAGCTGCAGGCGGTCGAGCTGGACAACCTTCTCCGAGAGGAAGCGGTCGATGATGTTGATGGCCAAGAAAAGAGTCTCTGGGAGGAGGTGAAAGCGAGTGTGCACTTCAATCAGCCAGTCAACCAGTATTCCACGCGTCTTCCACTCTAAATCGTCCTGGTGCTCCATGTAGTTAGGGTTGGGGATGGAGTTACACTCCAGATCGCGAAGGTATTCGAATATCTCGTTAGCATATTCGGCCACCATCAACGGATCGTCAAGATCCTCCTCATCCAGGTTCCTAACGCCGCGCGGGTAAATGTCATGCTTTTCGACGCCGGAAGGCACAGACTCGACAGGAGTATTGGACACAACGGGCTCAGGCTCAGGCTTGGTTCGACGCTTCTCAGCTGGCTGGGTAGATTGGTGTTTCTTGCGCAGGGGCTCGCCTTCTGCAAGGAGGTTGTTGTCCTTGGTAGAGATCGTGTTCGTTGGGGGGTTGAGTGGCTTCCTCTTGGGGATCGCGCCGGATCCCGAGCCGGGTGCCTTCTTCTCTTTGGGCACAGTATTTCTGCTAGTGGCGGTGCTGCTGGACTTCTTCGTGATGCCAGTAGGTTGAGCGGCCTTGGAGACGAGACCGCTCTTGCTCGTAGCCTTCTTCCCGGTGATTGTCTCTTTGTTGTTGACGTTGCTGACATCGCCAAGGGCGGCGCGCTTTCGCCCTGCCGGGATCGCGTTGACTGCAGACTTCTTTGTGGCGAGAGCCGTCTTTCCAGGAGCAACAAGCTCATCGACGTTGAGCGCGGCTGCTTTGGCGCGCGTCATGCGCATTGATCCACTGTTCTCGTCATTCTCGTTTGACACGATACGTGCACGCGTCGGGCGGGTAGGCTGCAGGCCTTTGTAAGCAGCCTGTCGACGCGACGGGACACGGCAGAGAGGTCCATGAGGTATTCAAACAGAGGAGCACTTACTTGTGGCATCTTGTATACCAATTATGTGAGGTTAGGTATTGGGGATGTAGAATCTAGGAGGACAAGGTCAGCATTTAGACGCGTCGAGGATGAAGCGCCACTGCGGTAGAGACGAAGTAATGAAAAAGGGAGTGCCACAAAGGCGTTTAGCATATACCAGGCTGGTTGCTTGGGAAAAGAAGAGATCAAAAATGGAACGGAAGTCGAGACGCGTGCGTACCTTGGGAATGATGATGACGGGCGACTCGAACGCAGGCAAGTTGTTTGCTCAGGTTCGACGCCAAAACACGGGTAAGGGTCTGGAGAAGGAGAAGACGGGGTAGAGTTAGTCGCGTTGCCGGGGCCAATTGGCATAGGTGTCTAGCCTCGTAGGATGGCGGAGAGCAGAGGGTATCGTGGAGGAAGAGATAGGGGAATTAGGAAACTGGGAATTGAGGAAAAACGAGATTGTTTATGTGGGAAGAGAAGGTGCAAGGACAATGTGTGATGTGTTTTGCTGAGGTAGTGGGAACCAGAGGACGTGATGTGGTATGGAGTGGGTGGGTATTGTGAACTGGGGCACTGATGGGGGGTACGTACCGTTTTTCTCAAGTCGCGGTTTGCTCGTGGTGGCCCTGGTCTGGTCTGGATTTGGTCACCACAGTAGCGCACGTCGGCGGCCCCTGTAGTAAGGGTAAAAGGTTGGTAGGTGTGTGCGGTTGCAGTATACGCGAAGGTCGGACAGGGAGTGGTTTCTTGTCTCTCGCTAAAGGAAAGTCGCGCGCGTCAGGTGTCGGTGTCTTTGTCGTGACGGGATGAAGGAGGGCCCTGTTTAGTTGCAGCTTGGACGGCAATTTTCACACGAGGGCGCGTTCTGGTTCTCTTTGTGTTTGTGAAAGGTCGAGGGAGAGAGAAGACCTGAAGATATACAGCTGGAACAGACAGACGTAGTGAATGGTGAATGGTAGATGGTGAATTGGGGGATCCTGATATTGGATTGATGTGGCGGGTGGCACGCAGGATCTGGAGGTGCCGAAAGATGACGAACGGTTGTTGCAGCCGGATGAGATCAGAGCGCTACAAGGCAAGGTGCGTAACTCTGAGGGTAAGGGGACAGGAACTGTCGTATATGGGTTGGAGGTGACGATGAGGAAGCTCGTTGCTGGTGGAAACAAGAGGTTAAGCTAAGTATCGTTTTTGCGAGAAGATGTGCCTCTATCGATGGTCTGTTGTGTGCGGCTTGGGTAAACTTGAGGATGCCTTAAATGAAGTGCAGCAGGAACGGTCTACAAGGCTTGGAGATGCTGGTCGCTTATGAGGGAAGACGAGGGTCGTGGCAGGTCGTGGGCGCGGTCGTGGCCAAGCGAGAGGAGGTACGCGATTGCCCTGGCTGCACGCGAAGAAAGCTGTGAGGTCCGATGGGGAACACTGTGAAAAAGAGCTGGAAAATGGAGCATTAACCCGGCCACAATAGCAATCAACAGTAGCAACCGCGGGGCAACTGTTCCATCATTGGCTGGTTGGCTAACCACGTCTCCACCAGTCCCGTCATTTCCGTCACGCTTCCCTGAGGCCGGACGTGTCGAGGCGTCTGAGGCTCAACTGGCATTTGGAGCCATATGGGATCCACTGTCCAGACCGCGCCTGTGGCTGAAAATGATGAAGGGGGTCAAGGTACGTACCGAGTCGCGACCCAATTCCGTCGGCGTCGGCAGAATAATTATTTCCCAAAGCTCGAAATCTGCACTGGGCTAATCCCATCCAACCTGGGTTTGAAGCCATCCCGACCACGAATAGGGATCACTCATCGAGGACCACACGGCAATTGTGGCCCCCAGTCCCAAGTACTAGGTGCTAAGCTCAATTGACGAGTCCGACATCCTTCTCCTGTCGCCATTCCCTGGTGTCGCCACCCCTAAAAAACCCGCCGCCGAGTTCTCCCTCTCCCGCGCCATGTCGCGCTGACTGGCTGGCCTCTCCTCACCTTGATCAACTCATTCGAGCCTCGAAAACGCACCACTCCCGACATGTCGCAACAGCGGATGCTGATGTCGGCCCAGAGGAGCTGCGCAAGCGTTCTGGGCTCGGCTGCTCTTCGTGGGCTCGTTATCAGACAATACGCTACTGCCACCAGAAAGTCTGCTGCAAAGGCTGCTTCTGAGAAGTCGGCATCCACGGCTAGCGAATTCGCAGCACCCGGGTCCGCCCCAACCCAAAGCAATGACTCCGTCATCATGCGCACGTATAAGCCCCGAACTCCCGGTGTCCGCCATCTCAAGCGCCCCATCAACGACCACCTGTGGAAGGGCCGCCCCTTTCTGCCATTGACCTTTCCCAAGAAGGGTCACGGCAAGGGTGGCCGTAACTCCTCTGGAAAGATTACCGTCAGACATCGCGGAGGAGGTGCCAAGAGGAGAATACGAACCGTCGATTTTGACCGCTGGCAACCCGGCCCGCATCTGGTCGACCGCATTGAGTATGACCCGGGTCGCAGTGCCCACATTGCGCTGCTTACGAACAAGTCTTCCGGGCGCAAGAGCTACATTGTCGCTGCCGAGGGCATGCGTGCTGGCGACGTCGTTCACAGCTATCGTTCAGGCATTCCCAAGGACCTGCTCGACAGCATGGGCGGTGTTGTCGACCCCGGTATTCTGGCTGCCAAGACTGCCTGGAGAGGCAATTGTCTGCCAATGCACATGATCCCGATCGGCACCGTTGTCTTCAACGTCGGCTCAAGAGCCAAGGGTGGCGCTGTATTTTGCCGGAGTGCTGGCACCTATGCCATCGTTGTCTCCAAAGAGGAAGAGACGAGAGATGACGGAACCAAGGTCATGACAGGCAAATACGTCAACGTCCGTCTCCAGAGCGGTGAGATCCGCAGAGTCAGCAAGGACGCATGCGCAACCATCGGAGTTGCCAGCAACCCGCACCACCAGTACAGGCAGTTGGGTAAGGCTGGAAGAAGCAGATGGCTGAACATTCGCCCAACCGTTCGTGGTCTTGCCATGAACTCCGGTATGTGATCTCTCACCACCCGCAACTTTCGTTATGCTCGGAGAATGTTATGCTTGGGAAACATTGCGCTAACCAACACTGTTCAGTCGACCATCCTCACGGCGGTGGACGGGGTAAGTCCAAGGGTAACCGCCACCCGACCAGTCCTTGGGGCACCCCGGTAAGTCATGGAGAACATACTATTCGAATCGGAACGTTACTAAGCCAGATACTCTATAGGCCAAGGGAGGTTTCAAGACCCGCCGCAAGCACAACTTCAACAAGTGGGTTGTCGAGCCCAGAGTACGCAACATGGGCCGGAGGAGAGACAAGAGCACCTCTTAAACTGCTGGCGCATATCGACTGTAGACGACGGTGAAGAGTACCAAAAAAAAAAAGACCCATCCGTATCGAGTGTAGGGAGAAAGTAGAAGCTTGCTATACCTGTTGTAAATGTATGCCATAGTATCTGTATCATAGAGCTGTTTGCGTTGGGCTGTTGGGAGATGGCACAGCTCTGCCAAGATGCCACAAACTGAAGTCACTGACACCTTCTTCTACTTAAGTGTATCTCCTCTTATCTTTTGCCAGTTTGCGCACCAGACCATGCAATCAATCACTTGCGCTGACGCGAGCACAAGGGAAGCTCACCCACATATCTCGGTTCCGTCGTGGTCGCCGCCGCTGTTATTCTCTGGTTGTCGATTCTCTCGACTGGACCGTTCTTCGTCCTCTCCCTCACTATTGGTCTTTGCCTCGTGCTTCCGTTTTCTCCAGGCCACTAGCCCACCCTTGAACGCCTCCTTAGTTGCCTTCTCCTGTGCCTTGAGTTCAGCCATGGCCTGTTTCTTGGCTTCTTTGAACTCTTTCTCTTCGGCCTTGGCCTCCCGCTCTACTTTGACACGCTCACCTGCCATGAGTAGGAAGCGGTCCCACGTCGGTGGCGGGGAGAGAATGTTTCCGCCAACCATCAGCCACAACATTTCCGGGATGGGGTCTCTCCCGGAGATGATGTGATTGGGCATCTTGCCTTCGTGGGTTATATGTGTGTTATTCAATTGGATTGCTTTACCACTGTAAGCGCGTTAGGGAGTTGACTGAGGGAAACAATCGAAGCCTGCAGCAGGTTGACGCTGTGCCGATGGACGTTTGTGAGTCAAGAACTGTCATGCGTTGCCGGGGTTAACGTGGAGGCGCGAATGTTACCTTCGTGGCGTTTTCGGTTGAACTGTTAGGGCCAAGGGCTCTTGTTTGGTTGCCGTCGACTGTTCCATTGCGGTCAGAATGCTCAGCCAACGAGTGGCTTTTGAAGCCGGAGTGACAAATATGCCAGCCAAGTTGTGTGATTCAGAATGGGGTTGGCAAAGGGTCTACTCAACACAACAGTTCCTTGCAGTCAACCTTGTCCTGCCTGAAGTAACTGGTAATGAGCCCATAGGTGAGTTACACCATTACCCACATTCACAGGCGTCATCTTATCTTACAAGTGTTGTACATGACTTTGCTCATAATTGCCTTGAATTGAAGATGATGGGGGGGAGGTCAAGAGCGAGATAGTATGGTTGTTGGGCCGAATTCTCTCAGTCACAGGTTGGCGAATCGTAACATTGGCATAAACATTGCCCCCGATGGGCAGGTTGTTTGATTTTCCCCCACTCTCTCACACCTACTACGTTCTCTCTCTCAATGCGCCTGTTCTAGGCCGTTAACCAACATTCCCGGCTCCAATCGACCGGCTCCGAATTCAAACCGCAACTCCAAGATACGCCGCTTGTGTCTGTTGCCAAGCAATCCCGTTCGAAACCCATTCTATTCCAAGACCAAAAACCCAAGAGGTCGCAGACTCATAACCATGATCCATATTCGTATCCCTTCGTACCCCCCCCCCCCCCCACTCGTGACACATGCCCAAGAATATGGGTGCTTACAGTGATCCGATGCGCTCCTCAACGCTGCCGAAGTAGACGACAGGACGCGGCTCGAGTATGCTGAGCTCACTCCCAAAGCTCTTGCGCTCTTCTTCGAGGTCAAGCATCGAGGGCTGACTAAAGACGATGCTGTTGATAGTGCTCACAGGAGACGAAGCGGTGGTGGTGTAAGAGCCCCGGTCGCTGCTGGCACGGGAAGAAGCGGATGATGAGCGGCGGAAGGTGGTGCGCAGTGTGCTCGGGGAAAAGCGGGAGGTGATGGATTGGAAGCGGGAGGACTGCATGACGGGCAAGTTGATGTTCGAAGTTATTGGCTTGTTGGTGATTTGCGGATGAAAAGCTGGCGAGTCTCGGTATTGTCGTACGAAGAGAGAGAAAGAGAGAGGGAAAGGAACAATTCGTCTGGTGAGGGGACGCCTGGAGATGTTCTTGTGGATGTTTTGCAATTATATGGAGAGGCGCAGCCTACGTTGAAAAGTTGGACGAACGAATGACGATAACCGAAACAGTTATACAGGTAGGACAGCTGGTTCCACGAAAGGAGCACGGAATGAACAGAAGTCAACCACCTGGGCAGGCCGAGTCCAATGCGAAGAAGTTGGGTAACAGAAATGAGGGTGAGCGGATTCAAGTCGGGTGTGCGAGAGGGAGTAAGGGGTGGGAATGGGGTTGGATTATATCAACAAGCCTCAGAGAGATGCGGAGGTTCGAGGGAGAGAGGATGGAGGAGCTAGCCAGTAGTGTAGAGTGTAGCGCACCAGCAGCAACAGTAGTGTATAGGTGGCAAGCAGCAAGTGAGTATCGGTAATCGGCAGTGACGAACGAATAATCAGAACCCACCCTGGTAAGGAATTAATCGCAGGCGAAGCGAGGTGGCAGAGAGGGAACAAGGGGGTGCGGGAAGTGGACGAAAAGAGTAAGGAATGGGCGAGGAGGAGGAGGACAGGGAGTGAGGATGGTTGCAGGAGGGTGGGTTAAGAGGCAGTATGGAGAAGCGGGTTCGTAGTTCAGGGGTGTGACGCAGAGGGCATCAATGCGAGCCCTCAGGACGCGCTGCCTCTTTGAGGGTAACGAGCGATGCGGCGGCGGAGGAGGAGGAGACAGCCTCGAGACGGACTGATAGAACACCTAGCAGGGGCGGGCGTCAATACCTGTGAAGCAAATGGCAAATTCCGAGGTACCGCCTTGTCACCGTACCTCAGTGTTGTTCAGACGACGCAGGAGTTTTGCTCTTTGCCCAAAGCGGGTGTCTCTTCCATAACGGAAGATGAGGTAAAAGATACTTGGCCGTCTGCTACGAGCGATCGAGACAAGATCGGGAAGAGGTGATGATACCTGCGCCTGATTGTGAGAGGCTCCAAGGAAGGGAAAGATGGAGAGATTTGATGAGGAGGGGGGGGGGGGGGCGTCCAGTCCGTCCATTCCTCGACCTCCCCTGTCACTTGCTGGAACTTGACCGCTTACCTATTCTCGCTGCCTTGGTAACGTGATGGCTTCTTTCTTTCACGTATTGCTACTGTGGCGGAGGAGGTTCAAAGACGCATTAGACGACAGAAACACGAAATCGCCGACGGTACTACTGAAGAGAGAGGGGAGAGTGAGGGAATAGCGAGAGGTGTTCAGGAGTCGTTGGTGCAGGGCAGTCTGAGGTGTGTAGCAGCCTCAAGCTCCGGCAGCCCACAAAACAGGCTACATTGTGTGATCGTCGCTAGGGTGGAGGGGGGGAGCGAAGAGAGGCAGTGACGAGACAAGTGATGGGTTTCTCTGGAGGTATCCTTAAAGGCACAGTTCCTGCAGGGAAATGGCGCAGAAGACTTGTCTGCCAAAAGGCTATTGACGCACAGAACTGGCCTGCCATTCGTTCATCTCGATGCACATACGGAAAGTAGCTACAGAATCTACCGTTCATCGTGCCTGTCTACTTAGGTAGGCTGGTAGGTCATGTACCTACCTACCTCAGGCATCTACCGCTTAGGTGGATGTCTTATTGGGGCACTTACTAAGGTACCTTAGGTGACTGGCTGTCAGGGGCTATGGCCAACCGCAGAGGGAGCGATGGGCCGGCCCTACGCACTACTTCATAAGCGACGCGAACAAAAGAAGGCGCACGTTTCAAGTGCACCCATCAACGAAATTGCCGATGTCATGCTCCATGGTTGGCGCTGACGGCTCTGCCGAGCGTTCGGCCTGGGGACAAGTGGGCGCTTCACTATTTACTTCATCCCATGTCTGCGGTTGAGCTCTCCCACCGACCCTCGGTGGAGCAAACCTGCGCATCTGTGGCTGAACTTGTATTCGGTATGTAGACTCGGTAGGTACCTAGGTTGACGACGCCGAAGACGACTCTGTCATTATCTACATAGTATCCGTAGTCGCTAGGTAAATAGGTAGGTGCCTGTAAGTAGAGGCAGAGGGTACTGCCTCCCCCATCCATACAGTACCAGCTCACAAGTCTGGCGACACCAATAAGGGTCACATGATATTCAGCCAATCAACTAGGTAGGAATCCTCTTTTCTAACCTACTTTTCCCTCTCTTTGCCTAAGGCTATTACCATCTTAACGCAGCTATTTACGCATGTAGCATCAATGAGATGACTATGGTTTCGCTCAGCCTTAGAAACCATGGGGCCAGCATCATGTGATTCTTATTGGTGTCGCCAGACTTGTGAGCTGGTACTATACCCTCACTGGTGACCCTTCGTGAGGTAGCAAAGGGCAACTGACGACCTAGTAAAGGACATATGTATCTGGTGTAGGCGGTTGATGGAATGTGTATCCCTCACTCAATCTTGTATGTTGATTACCTACCGGTAGGTGTAGCTGTGGGGGCCCTAATGGACGGATGGGCAATGCACCCAAACTACGTCGTACTACCTACCTGTACGCTTTACGCGGCCCATGGCTGCGCTCGTGCCACTTGCTCCCATCAACTCTTTGATTCGAAAAGAAAAGAAAGTGGGAATCGAAGGTTTCTGGAAAAGAGGAGCAACAGCCCTGGTCGATGCTGAAGCTGAGGCGGGGCCTACAGGCAGGCCCTGGAAGCATGTATTTCGTTGCAACTCTAAAAAACAAAAACAAAAATAGAAAACCCCCCAACCGAGCTGGCCATCATGTATGTACGCGTGACAGGAGCCATCTATTCATGTCCCGTCACCCACAATGCGAAAGAAGCCAAGTCAACAAGGTATGGCCGAACGGTTCGCTGCCGTGGAGAATATAATAGAACGTCGACTATGGTTGTATCTGACGATTGAAGGCATTGCATAGCCAATTCGGCCATGTAACCTCGGATAGCCCTTTTTCTCCATTTCCTCTTCTGTCTTCAGCTCCGAGCCGTGTCGGTGGTGTCCCGCAGTCGCGATGCCGGTCCCTCTGCCCATAAGTCATAAAGCCATCTGAATCACAAACACTGTCACACACTTCAAACCCACCCCAGATCAAGGGTCCTGGGATCCTTATCCTCTGGATCGCCTTTCACCGTCGCATTGTCGACTTATTCCCCGTCGACAATGACCCATGTTTCCCTCCTTCTCTCAAGGCCTTTGTCGATCCTACTGACGGACAGGGAAGGTCGCCGCCGTAAAGCCGCAGGGAAACAAGGGGCACCGCCAACACTACTATGTAGACACTGCGTATCTACAATGCGGTACATAGCAGACCCGTCTATAAATATTAAAAATCAACATCCTTTTTCTCCAGTTCACTCCATCTTGGATATGAGCATGAATGTCCAAGTCAGCTGTTATCTCCTTGATCTGACCTTCAGAGGAACCGCCTTGGTCACGCACCTAAGTTGTCTCCTTGATGTCCCTCCGCCCCTGCTGGAACACGAAAAATGAGGGGGCATGTTGAAACATTTGCGAGCGTGAAACGAGGAAAAGCCGAGCAACGACGAGACGCAGACAAGACCAGACCAGACAAGACTACCTAGACCAGGCGAGGCCGTGGGCCTACATCGGACGAGACGATACATGAACCACGAAATACGAGCGCATGTGCAGGCAAGTGGACTGGCCTTTAGCAATTGTCCCCCTTCCCGTGGGTCGGTCCATCCCATTTTCCACCATCGAGTGCCAAGACAAGGGAAAGCACAAAGCAAGCGAGGCAAGCCAAGGTAAAGAAAATACCCAAATCCATGAAAGAGTACGAGTGAAAGCCGGCACCGCTCTCCCTATCGCCATCACGGAATTAGTAAAGCTTGTCCCTGGCCTAGATCAACTCCTGCACATATCACTTACCAAGAACAGAAGTCTATTGCCCTGCCGACCCTCTTGTTCTTCTGCTCCTTCTTCTTCTGCTGTTTACACATATGTATTACGTGCTATAAACGAGTCTATCCCTGCATCTTGTCAGTTGCAGATGCTCTTCTGCTCCACCCTACTAAAGACATCTTGGAAGTTGGCACTGTCTCAAACACCTCTGTCGGAACACTGATTTCCGTCAAGAGCTTCGTTTGCTCTGATACTCGGCCTATGCACCAAAACTCTTTTTTACCTCTCTTTGACGTCTGCCAAGAGAAACTCACTGCGAGGAAGTACGGTTGTGGTCTCGATAATACCTAGGTACTTGGCAGAGCGCGCTGGTCCCATCGATTCTGAGAGTTCGATGCGGGACGCTTTGGGCTCCTGTCATGTTGGCGACAGAGGGGAACGTACCTATCTCCTTCTGCTTTGCCCCGTCTTCAGTCGATCAAGGAAGGAGAGAAAGAACCAAATAGACTTCCGTCGTTTCTGGAACTCCCGATAAGAGAGAGACGGAGAGTTTCATCATCGCCAATCTGACGACCAGATGAACGAAAAGCTGCCGCTCCGTCCTCTGAGCCTCACTGTCCGATCGCAACGTCTAAGCGCTATTGAATGGTTCCTTGACGGGTCCAATTCCATGACGAATCGAGTGACTGGTGCAGGGTAGCGTCAGTGATTCGTGCTGACCAAGTTACTCCCAAGCGTACAACTCTTTGGTATCCATCCACCGCCCTATGTACTCTTTGAGAAACGGCTTCTTTCTTTGGTTGGTATTCTCGTCATTATTGTTTTCTAGTCTACGCCGTCTCCTCCTTGAGGCTGTATGCCAGCAAGTGGGAAGTAACCGAGGCCTTGACCCTGTGGGCTTCTGTGTCATCTATCAAACAAGAATAAAAGGGTGGAAGAAGTCTCGTACTCGTGCCTATCATGAATCGGAAAGAAAAAAAAGAAAACAAATCCTGGTCTAGGCACTGCGCCAAGATTCTATGATACTTGCTCTTGAACCCAAACGCCGTCGCTTGCAGAACAAAATTTAAGA